ATTACGAGGTTATTTATACAAAAAGTGGGATAAGTAGTGTAATTTTTTAAATTGACGATAATGGAATGGTGCACCCGCCTGCGCTAACGGTTTACGCGGACACCAGTAGAGGATGATAAGATGATCATGAGGTCAGGTCTGTTTGACAAATTCACTAGCAATTTGTCACGATGATTTCCAAAGGGAACAATGGGGCAATCACATCACTAACACACACAATCCACATTACTAACAATCCCTTTCCCCCAATAAATAGTGTATTAAAACTTTGTCGTGTTTTAATATATAAAAAATATGCAAAATAGAGATTTTACAATAAAGCATGTAAAGTTGTCTTTAAGGTTTACGGATATTTCATACAATATCATAGTTTTCTGGTGATAAAAAGAAAGATGTATGTACCTACGTACATTTGCATAATATTACTAGGGCACATCTGTGCCTATAAATGCATCACCCATTTCCGAGATTACACCGTAACTTTGCACCTCATGATGTTATAATATTCCTTGTTCGGTTAGTGTATATAAAATATATACGATACTGAAACCAATATATGCTCTGTTATCAGAAACCAAAAAAATGTACAAACCGTCGAGACTCACTAGGATATTTTTAAAAACGTTTACAATGAAAAACGAGTTTAACATCAATTTAAATTCATTACTTTGTAAAGATAATAATGATAATAATCTGGAACTACCCATTGAAAAAAATAAGGAAAGAGCGCTGTGTAAATTAAAGCCACGCTCTTTTTAAAACGACTGGTTTGTGTAAATGCGAATTCTGTCCACTAACATCTTCAAGTTCCAATGCAACTCAATATGGGCGAAAGACTGATTTACTTGTTGTTTTTACAGGATTCATTAATTAACATTTAGTTTTATTAACATTAAGTATCCAACTTAGCTGAAGTTTTAACATGAATAGTACCTATATGTATATGTATATGCTTTAAAAAGTCGTTTACGTGGGTACCCCAGACTCACGTATTACAGCCGCCAAGCAGCCTGCTTTAAGCTGCTGCAGCTAAGCTGTGTTTCGGTTGTAGGATACGATTAAGCACTCTGAAATGCGAACGCATGAGTGATGCCACAAGTGTTAGATGATAACGTAATGTCCAGAATACTGTTTATGTATTTATCAAAACGTGTAATAAATATCAATGTGTAATAAATGGACCACAGGTCATAACTAAGATACACACTATCATTATTATAATCTTAATAGATACAGAGTTGTAGGATTGTTACTGGTTTATTTCTAAATATATGTATGTTTTATTTAGTTCAAGTGCTTATAAATAACTATGTCTTATTCAGCACAGGTATGCTTATATTATAATATTAAGATGTCTCCCTGGGGTCAGCCACTTAGAAGGAAATCAGTGTTGTGCTAAAATATTACCACTAAATAACATGAGATTCATAAATATAACCCAAGTCATGAAGGGGAAGGAGATTGTTAGTAGGTAATGTGGACTCATGACCTCCACGTGGTTGCCCCTGGATACCAGCGTGATAAATTTCTGGTGAATTTGTCACGATGGCCTAATTGACCTGACCTCATGTTTACCTAATCATCCTCCACAAGTGCCCCGCAATCGTAAACCGTTAGCGCAGGCGGGTGCACCATACAATTAAGTATCATCCGTAAAACAACCCGAGTCATGATTATGTAGAAAATATATATAAGAATCCTATGACGTAAATCATATAACACCTTCGAGGTAGAGCAGCATCAACCAAGATGTCCAGCTAAACATTTAAGCTTGAACTTTGGTTTTGTGTATTTTACACATAATTTATTGCACATTCAAAGTTTCATTATCACGTATTTTAATGAAACTTTGTATGTTATACCTATGAACAACCAACGGCCTGCTATTAATAAAGATAAATTACCAAAAAAAAGAGTATAAAGTAAAGGTGTATTAATACGTACTTTCGTTATTTTCCGTGTAATTATGTTAAATTAGGTACTTCTAGGTATTTCTCCATTAGATTTGAAATGATTAATACACCTTAACTTAATTTAATAGTATGTAACATATAAATATCTATTGTAAAAGCGGAATACTGTATTTTGTGTGTGCGATAAAATACTGTCTAAATAATATATGTGCCTATTTAGTAAATAAGAAAGAACTACCTGCCTGCATACAAACCACGACAGGAGTTTTGTAGGACAGTAGGTACTTGTAAGCTTCGTAAAATTAGAAAAATAAAGCTTTTTATCTATCCATCTATCTACCTGCTATTTAACTTTCATGAGGCTCCCGTATTTCAGTATAAAATATTAATTTAAGTATATAGCTAGCCTCTGATATAGATACTACCTAGATATGTATTATTAGATAGAATATCTATTGTAATTAAATTAACACAGATGTATACCCTAAACTATTAATTAATCAATAACATTTTATATAATTATAGTTCCTTACATACAATTACGTGTAGGTATAGACTTGATTCAGAGCCTACAACGAATCTAGATTTTAGCCTACAACGAAATAGGTTAGGTCTAGATTTTTTCGGTAAAGTATATTACATTGTTTTCATTCATCTACTATATTTTCGTTTACCTATACTTAGCGCCTATAAAATAAGATTAAAATAATAAATATTATATTGATATTTTTACAATTATTCCAACTATCCACATGACAGTATTAAAGGAGCTAGGTAGGTAGGTGTAGACCTATCTATGTGTACCTAGATCCTATATTTATTATTAGGTAGGAAGTACCAACACAACTCAGTAAGACAGATAAGTAGTTTAGTATATACTAGTAACTCGTCCCGACTTTGTCTGGGGACTAAAAACTTTAATAAATTTTATATACCTATAGTATATACTATAATAAATTAGCCTATATATACTATAGTATTTCACTCTGGAACTGGATTTAGTAATCGTCTTTCAAGCAGTTAAAGAATTTCTTAAATCGATGCAGTGGTTCCAGTTTAGTTCCCTCATAAGATCCACCCTCTCTTTCTCCTTTTCTCTCTCTATAAATTTATAGTAGGCGAATGCGATACTTATGGATTTTCGAGTACCAATCTACCCATGATTACAGGAATAAAGGTGTTTGTGTTTTAGATTGATGATGATTTTATTTGGGATATTTTTTACTAGGGAATTTATTGTCACACTCTGGAACCAAGTGGTCATGGACAGTGAGATTTCAGTGGAGCTTCCTCCTATGCAGCCTTACGATTCTGGAATAAACGGTCTGCTGTTTTTTTTTAGAAATTACAGCATGGGGTTTTTCAAGAAGGTTTACATTAAAGTTTATTAGAGAGCTTGATAACGCGTACGTAAGTAAGTAAGACACCCTCTGTGTAAGGCGTCCATTGGCTGCGGTAACCGTTTACCACCAGATGAGCTATATGTTTGATTTCCACTAGGTACGTATACTACTGTTCCACTACATATAAAAAACAGATGTTTGGTTCTCAATTTTTACGCAAGCTAATACAAGTCTGTAAATAAATACCAAAAGCCTTTGATAATTACCAAGTTGTACCTACCTACGTTAAAATACCTATCGATCATTAGCACACCGCCGCCATACCGCCTATGTAAATGTACCCTATATCTATATTCCCCCCCACTTAATACTGTAGGTACATAATAAGAATGAGAGGCAGCATGTAGATAGGTACGATATAAATCTTACCTACTTAAGAATATTTACATTCAGTATAGTAGTTATCATTAAATAAATATACCAGATTCTGATCTGTACTAAATAATAGGTAATAATGATAACCCTGGAGAATCTACACACCGTCCCAAGCTAAGCAGAGCTTGTATTATGGGTACTCAATAACTGATATAAATACTTCAATATCTTTTTTGTATAAATATACCTATACATAAAAAACACAAATACAAACAATCAGACTCATGAATAGAAATGTTTGCACCGTACGAGGAATCGAACCCGCCACCATCAGAAATAAGGCGGTGTGCTAATACGCCTAGACTACCGATACCGGAACTAATAATTTAGACAATTGTAATATATAATTAAATATAGGTATATTATATAACACTAATATCTTAAAGTGATTGGTTAAAATCTGATAAAATTAATGACATCGTTACGGAAAGGCAGTTTAACGCATGGAGCGACCGACTCTGTACTACTTACAATAAAATATTTCTGGCGTTGCAAGATTTTTTAAAAACTAATAGGATACCTTACACTACCACAGACGGATCATAAATATACCTACTATAGAAAATAGACAAGGGAAAATGCTCAACATTTTGATACGACATTATAATCTAAAGAAAAAAAAAGAGGAGAGGTTACAGTAGGTATATCAAGCAAATTAAGGAAAAAGCTGAAAAAAAAGCTTCGTTGAAAGTCTTTCGTAGACTTCGTTGAAAAATTATAATAAACACTATATTACAACCAACGACGATTTTATCTATTTAAACAGCGTGGCGATTTACAACAGATACTTGTGCCTTTTTTATAGCATAGGCGGCCTAGGAGAAGCGCACTTAATGGTGAGAGATGAACACAGATCATGAGCACCTACACTGCTAGGGGAATTGCAGGTGAGTAGCCGGCCTTTTAAGAAAGGGTGGGTAAGGGAAAGAATGAGGAGGAGAATGCACATTCAAAACTTCGACTAAAATGCGAAACCCGTTAACACTTAACGCCAATATTTTTAATAAGTGTGGTAACCGCAATAGACACATTCAAAACACCTACCCGAAAATTTTAATCATAAATTATAAAAACTCGACGGGCAGTGAAAAAACATTATTAAGTACTTTTAAACTTCTATGACAACCTAACAAAACAACAGTTAATGTCAGTACTGTGACATTCTGGCAGAACAATAGCTGTATGTTCAGTTCCCTTTGCCTTGTAAAGGATAAACAGAAAAACAAATCTGACAGTACAGTAGTGTCATGTCAATCAAGGCACTCACATATAACTTATCATATAAGTTACTGTCAGTACTGTAGTCAAATATAGTGCTATATTAATAAGACATTAAAATTTATTCAGTGGATTTCAACATTCTATCAGTCGTCATCAGTCATAGTAGGATTTATGTCTCTCTTTGTCATATTGACATTATTTGACATTTACGGAAGGCTGATGAGTTTTGTGTCAGTTTTAGGTTATAATTTTATTTGTATTGCAAAGCAATATATTAATTATATACTCACACAATATTTTTCACTAAATTATGTAAGAATATTAAGAGAAATAGTAATTTCTTATTATAAACCTAATCCAATAGTTTGTAGCTATGGAGAGTATGGAATTTGATGCCACTATGGGTGGCGAAGTGCATCTTCCATGTTCAGTTAATAGTTTAAAATTTGCAACATCTAGAAGTGTAGAAATTGCTGCTATGACCGAAAGTATTATTAACCCAAGCAAAACAAAGTTAATTTTTCAAAGCTTACCAGTACATATGAGACGGCGAGTCATGAGCCACAACTGTAAACGACTGCCCAGAAAACTACGTGAAGGCCATTTAGAACAATTAAAAAAAAGTGGTTTGCCTCCAAAACAAAAAAGACCTTCACGAAAGTACAGGAGACGTCCAGGAAATCTATTAGAAGAATATAATAGACGACAAATGCAAAATATTTGGTTAGAAACACATATATGGCACGCTAAAAGATTCCACATGATCAAAAGATGGAGTTATTGTATAGCATACGCCCCTTGTGATAAAGCGTTTAGAGCTTGTTACCGAGCAAGTTCAGCTCATTGTCTTTTACAAGACATTTCCTATTATACATCAATTGAAGTGGAAGGTCCTACTGATTTCATAAAGGAAATGTTTAGTTCTATAACAAATCCAACTTGTGGGCTTGGTATATGTGCTAAAGCATATATAAATGGAATTAGAGAAGGATCTATTCATCTTTACAAACCAAATTCATTCCCATTTGGGTATATTGGTAAAATACATTTTATTTGGGTTCCAAATGAAGATACAAATAAGAAATTGCATTTATTTGTCCACCCATCACAGATAAAGCAAGTTGAAACTGTTTTAAAAGAAATTTTGATTGTGGAAGATGAGACTGAGGTATACAAACACTGTGAAAAAAGAAGAAAACTTACTAATACTTGCTTAGAGAACATTAAAATAAAGACACTTCTTGGTAGATATAATAGATTTCGCTTAACAGGGCCGAACAGTCATGCAATTCTAGCTCGCAGTCTAAAATGTGTAGAAAATAAAGAAAAACTGGAATGTAGCAAATGGTATTCAGCTGTTGATATAAATAATTTACATTTAATTGAGAAATTTAAGTACTGGCAAAATATATGTAAGGTTAATGCCCCTTCACAGTTACCTCCTGCTGTAATTATTGGCCTCACTGTAAAAGATCCTCGATTGAGTCGTCCGTCACATCGGACAAAAGCAAAAAATTACTCACATGAGACTATTGATACACAATTATTGCTAAACGTCCCTAAAACAGCAGCATATTCTCCTTTATGGGAGAACAATATACAAGAAATTATAACAAAACAAAAAATGAACAATGCTGACTATATTAAACATGTTACAAACAAACAATTGGTGCCTGGAGAAGTGTTTGAAGATGACCCGGCATTGCAATCCATTCCAGTTGTTTTAGTGCAAAGACCTGGATCTCAAGTTTCAGATTTCAAAAAAATTGGTACTTATTTTAATTAATTATATTTCAAAATATTAATTTGTATTCCATTAGTCTGGTTTTAACCATTTCTTATCTGTTTCTATACAGACACTGAGTGAATACTAAGTAATCTAGTGCTCTTAATTTAAATTTATTACAAAACAATTATTATGTTAATTATTATTATAATATACAATTATTTGTTTCCATCTTCCTTGAGAATTGCAAGATGTAAATTTGTTTTCAAAATAATAAAGTAATTAATCATTACAGGATATGGAAGTGGTTGGGACATTATTATACCCGCAGGGTATGGTCTGCAGTTTTGGCATACATTTGTTATGTTTGGTGCAAGGACAGGAGGTCTCAGAGAAACAGAGAGTTTAGCATTTGAAATGGGGGAATGTTATCTACCACCAGACTCTGACTCAGGATGGGAAGAAGAAAATAGAATACACTTAGAATTGAAAAATAAATATTTTAACCGACCTCCAAGCAAAAGAGTTAATTTCATAAAGCTAGGTATAAATAGCCCATTCTTATGCCACTGGAAGTTACTTCTCAGCGATTGGTGTAGTATTGACAATTGTAAGGTTGATGAGTTTTATGTGTTACGCGATAAAGAACTTCTAATGAAGTTTCAGGTATGTTTAGTTCTAATGTTATGTTGATATAAGTATAGTGGCCACTGGTTAACAAACTCCAACAAAAATAATGGTATAATACTAAAGAGAAAATTTCACAGATTTCAAATAGAAGATCTGTAATAGTGAATTCTGTGCATTCTCTGAATTTATTTTATTCTTGTTTTTTGTTTGACTTATAATAATTTAAATATAAAATATAATTAGGAGTTAAATTCAACACGGTGTAATAATGATTTTACACTCAATTAAATATGATACTGCTACTGAACTCTGTCATAATGCAACAGATTACTTTTTATTATTATAATTTAATTTACATTTATATCCTGCATTTGTTTTGTCTTGGACTATACGTACTGTTAGACATTAATGATTAACTTTAAATAGGTCTAATAATACAGATTGAGAAATGTATTGTATTTTTGTATCCTGTCCTAATAAAAAGGTAAACAACTAATGAATATTCAGCACAAAATCTTTTATACAGCTAATATAAAAGTTTTTTTACTTACTAGACGTACAAGTTCTGATAATTAATTTTATTGCGATAATAATACATATATATTTATAACAGGAATTATTCATAAAGTTTCTACTGTCTATAATAAAAATATAGTCTTGTCTTGTCTTATCATATCGATTTATGTAGGTCGGTTGGAGTTGGTGTAATGTATGTGTTTCTCTTTCATTCATCTCTGTTCGTAGTCGTCCCGTCCTTTACTCGCCGTATTATCTTACAGACAGTCCGTCCATCTCTTTTTGACCTTCCTCTATATTCTTATTTTTTCTCTTTACAACATTTTATTCATTTCCGAGCTTAAATGTTTCGATTAAAATAATAATTCTTCTTTTAACTTTAGCTAATAATATACTGTACTATTACCGACCATAAGTCATTTCAAATGTATACTAAAGTTTCCTATAATATAATAGTCCCAAATAAATAAAGGTTGTCTCAAAAGCAAGTAGGCAACAAGCATTAATTTTAATTCAGGCTAGATTTATAAAATAGATGAAACTAAATTCAATATTACTACACTGTCATGCTTCTTAAAATAAAGTTTCTTTTCCAGGACTGCTTAATTCATAAGCAACAACTACCACACACACAGCATGCTGAAAAATGTCTTGTGGCAGTATATATACGTATCGCTAATAAAGGATTTTTAAATAAATATGCTGTAATATGTTTACCAGAGAATGGAGATTATACTAATGATATGTTGGTAGAACCACAACATGATGATAAAAATGAAAAACTGCGCAAAGATAAACGATTAGAGCACAAAAGTAACTTAAAAATTTTGAGAAAAAAAAGAATAAAACTTAAAAGAAAAGCAACATCCGTAAGTACATTATTTTATTTCTTGTTTCTTTTACTATTCCCTGATGCAAGACGAGCTAAGTTTGCAAAGGTTTCCAAATCTGTTAGTCAGTAGTATTACAGTATCCAAACTTGGATTCAATGATTGATGTACACCCTTTATGCAAAATTATTGCATAAAGTGCGTACAAAATAATTGAAATGTCATATATCAGCAGAAATAACCCGCAGTATTATATAAGACAACTACCTCATAGGGAGAATAATTAACAACCGGAGCCTATTACTGTTACAACTACAATCACAATTCTATATAAAGGATCATCCATAAATTACAGGAATCCCTTGATTTTTTTACCCCCCCCCCCTCCATTTAATAATAATACTTAAAGTTTTTCAATAATTTAATTTCGTTTTTCGTTCGTTCCTTTAATACTTAGCTATATTGGTTTGAAATTTGACAACACGAAATTAAGCTCCGTCCCAGCTCTTGTCACATCATTTCACACTGTCGATCACGTGTGACGAAATGTATGTTTAATATTGTTCGTTTTTTTTTTCAGGTTAATTTAAAAACACAAAAACGAACTAAACTGGAGCCATCTGAATATGTGAAGTCAATGAGAGAACTGTGGCTTCCTACTGATGTAAATAGTGTACGCTTTTCCTGCTCAAGGCAAGTTATGGGTTATTTGACACAAGCAGCATTCAGTTTCTCAGAAGCACGGTCTTGTGGAGTAGGCTATATAGCCTATAATGCACTAAATACATTATTGAAAACTGGACACAATCAAATACTAGTTAGAAACACAACATCCAGGAAATACAGATTGGCAAACATACAAGTAATTAAATAAAACATATTGATAATATAAAAATTATGTATTCATTTTTATTTGTTTCTTACATACACAGATATTATCAGGAAACCTACTGAACTAGGTTTCGCTTTGTGATGGTCAAAGAATATGAAAATATAATCTTCCACTTTATTGCATTCTCAGTCAAAGTTGAAATTCTTTCTTGCTCCTTTCTCGTATACATAAAAATATCATGACAAGAAATAATTTATACAGCATATAAAAAAGTGCCAAGCTAAGATAAATTTTAAATTCAGATCAGGGGCAATGCATGATTTCAAATCGGGCTATATACATACATCACAAATATCTTAAATGCTTATTTGTACGACCTCAACAAATTACGTTCCTACGCAACATGAACTATAATAGGCCTAAAATACGTCACGATCACAAACCCGTATGATACAAACTGTCACTGCAGTTGAAGCTGGGCTCGTCTATTATTGAACTATACAAATGCTACACAATTCCATATACTCATAATATGGTTATATCTTTGATCTCTTCCTAGCTATCGCATCTTCGACGGCCTTCAGCTGTTTTAACAGTTCTTCTCTTCTTGAGACAGATTTTTTGGCCGGAGCTGAATCTGGTGGTGACAGGGCTGGTCGTTTCTTCCCAGTAATTTCTAAACAACAAAATATAAGTTATTCATTTAAAGATTCCACAAAAACTAATTATGCCATCTTTATATTTAATATATTACACACTTACCTTTCTCAGTTTGAGTTTCCTTTTTACTTGCTATAGTAGACACTGCCGCCGCTAAACCGGCACTCGATTTTGCATTTAACCTGCAAATACGCTATTTATGAACATACGCCTGAAAAGCTTGTATTATATATACACACTGAAAGGTTTGATATACTTTTTATTGGTTTGATCAACTTATTACACATTTTTTACTGTTTGTACTATATTTTGTGTACATACATGTATATATTTGTTATTATAATTAATAGATAAGCATAGAATGTGCCATAATAATGATCCAGCATTTGGTTTGCCAAGATTTATTTTAATAATAAGTTTATATAGTAAAAAATAAATACCCCATCTCTTGCCTGTCTATCCTACACAACACAAAAACTTATCTATTTTTACATGACTTCAACCTCAATACTATAAAGACCGCTCTAATAGAACCTAGTAATTAATAGCTGACTTGTATTAGTAAAATATAATTGTTTGGCTAAAACGGAATTACCAGGGCCGTAAAACTACCTAAAAATTAAATAACAATGTTTCATAATGGTATAGATATTAGAATATTAACTGACCTAGGCCGCGCGGCTGCGTTGAGCAGTCTCGCATGTCTCGCTCGCCGTGCTCCCGAGCTACCCGAGGTCGATGATGAGTGTGACTCACTCTCTGACTCGCTTGATGATGATGACGACTCTGTAACATAAATTATACTTGTTTTATCATAAAATACATAAAACTAAATCGTGTAGAACCAAGAGCATGCTCGTTTGTTTCTGAGTATAGAACACACAATAGTTACCTGAGCCTGATGATGAAGATCTTGAATATTTTTTCCTATCTCTATCACGACTGGACATTTTACTGCGCCCATATGGATCCAATTCATCCTGGACAAATAAAAAATTAACAAAGTAACACCTGGATACTAAATTATAACAACAACATTTTGTATACTTAGGAACAATGTAGTTTTTCTATATATTTACATTCCATTAATAAAAAATGTTTTAGTATACCTTTTTAATTCTTATTGTACAGATCACAGATCAAATAAGTGTAAGGAAAAAGGAAATTAAAAATAAAACCTGTACACACCTAACCTCTTTAGCCGTCACAGTAGTAGGTCAAAATTACTGTAATCTTATTTTCCGATAATGAATAGCAACAAAAAAAAACAAAGAGCGCTTACTAGGCGCTATTATGCAAAGTGTTCTTTTATACTTTTTCAGTATGCATTAAGTTTTATTTATGTAATTGGAATGACAAGCAAGCTGACGGCTCACCTGGTGGTAAGCGGTAACCGTCGCATATACATGAACAGCCCTACGGACATCACATTAACACATGTCCTCTGAGTACCACTCTTACCACCACCTAAGAGGACTATCTTATTTTATAATTTCACTGGCTAATCTGCACCTTATAACAGAAATACAGCTTAGAAAGCAGGCTGCTTAGCGGCTGAAATACTTCTGGTGAGCAAACTCATTCATTCATTATTTAAGAGCCATGCTCTTGTCGGTTTCCATATACTCTTTAAGTATTGAAACGCCACGCTACCAATTTTGGCTTTAATTTGCTTGATGTAATTGTGCCTTGATCTTCCCCTCGAACGGGTCTATCCCTCTATAATAATGTTCATAATTTCACCGTACCATATCAAGTGTCGCAACATTTACCCTGATCAAGTTCAATAATGTTCATAACTGTGTTTCTTCCACCATACCATAATTACTAAATAATATTTTAAATTCCGAAAATTGGAGTTATTGCTTATTGGTATAGCTATAGAGTATAGTGTAGTTCGGCCGGAGAGGGTTCATGGCGGTTGTCTGTCGTTTATAACATCAGTAAGGGTAGTGTACCTTGTGCCTGTGCGAGGCGGGCGGCGGCGGGTTGGCCGCCAGCTGTCGGGCGGCGGCCGGCGAGGGAGCCCGGCGCCGCGGCGCTGGAGGGTTCATGGCGGTTGTCTGTCGTTTATAACATCAGTAAGGGTAGTGTACCTTGTGCCTGTGCGAGGCGGGCGGCGGCGGGTTGGCCGCCAGCTGTCGGGCGGCGGCCGGCGAGGGAGCCCGGCGCCGCGGCGCTGGAGGGTTCATGGCGGTTGTCTGTCGTTTATAACATCAGTAAGGGTAGTGTACCTTGTGCCTGTGCGAGGCGGGCGGCGGCGGGTTGGCCGCCAGCTGTCGGGCGGCGGCCGGCGAGGGAGCCCGGCGCCGCGGCGCTGGAGGGTTCATGGCGGTTGCGCGCGCCGACGCCATGCGCCGCTCCCGTACTATCACCGACGGTGACAACCTATAGTTTTATACACCATTAGCCTATCATCGAAAACTGTTCTAGAATGCCTGAATGCAATGGCTAGCTCATCCGTCATACTCGTGAACGGGTGCCGCTCATGAGGACTAGTCTGTACGGGTTATGGCCACTGAATAGACTATTTGATTTTCAATAACATATGCTGGTGGTCATGCTATTCTCCCTAATTGAATTTAAAAATGATGCTGTGTTTTTAAACATGTACGAGCTCATTTGAAAAGAGTAAGAGCTGATTTACTTGTCCGTTCTTAGTTCGAAATACTCCGAAATGACTGCAGATTCAATATATCACAAGTGAAAAAGTGTACAGGAATGCGCGCTTTTGTCGTTTACAATGACACGGTATTGAACTATTTTATAAACCCTGGCCACATACTGGATGGTTTAATTGTGATAACATTATACTAATGCTGACAATAACTAAATTATAAGCAGTCATTAGAGTAGAGTGAGTACAAAAGAGTGAATGCTTGTCCCTCCCATCCCTTCCAATTTTGGTTTAGTTAAAATACAATAAAAAATATTTGTAAGCACTCAACTATATTTACATATAGTTTTTACATGTTCATTAAATTTAAACCAAACTGTTTCTATATTTTAACTCTTATTCTTTGCTGTTTATTCGCTTATTGACTCCACCTTAATATTGAAGTTAATACACCAAAATCTTTTATTATTATTAGGAAAGTAATGTTTAAATGTTCTATAATTAATCTATAGCGACATTCTGTAAAGTTAAAATTACAAATCAAATTGATACAAATCAAATTCAATGGATGATTCGATTTCCATCGCTAATAGACAGTGTTGATTTAAAAATCAATGCATACATAGAATGATAGCTTTATATTGCGGCCCAGTGGTATTGAAAAATGTATGTTTGTACACTTAGGTATTTAAATGTAATTTTCGGGTTTGCGGGCTTGCAGATTTTCAGAAGTATGTTCAATAAGCCATGTACGATAAAATATGAAGTATTTTATAAAGTAATAAGAAAAACTTATGCTATTCTTGAAAATTATACTCTTATTATATATCATTAACGTACCAATGCTTTAAAATTTGCTTATATCACAGATGATGTGTAATGATAATATAGATAATAGTGATTTAATAAATAATATTTAAATCTGAAATACTAAAAAAAATGTGTTATGTTCATCTAATGATAACACAAAACAAAGTGAGGAAAATGAGTATCTTATGATTTGGTGTACCTAGATAAGATAAACAAATTAGGTTGAATTGAAATAAAATAATAGTCTGAGTATCAACGAAACCTAACTCTTAGGCTAGAACTAAGATGGAGATAACCGAGAATAATTAAACAGATTAATTGATAACATTAAGATGTAAAATAATAATCTATACACAACATACTATGTAAGAGAATGTTTTATATTCAACGATGGCTATACAACATTAAATTCAAGGAACATCTAATTTAAGAATTGGAAACTTAGATTTCGAGTCGTATATCGATGACGGTCTGATTTTGAAATCAAATTATCAAAGTTTTACCTCCTTGTTTGCTTTAATTTAGTCAATTCTATTCAAAATAATAAAATAACTTTAGTCATGGCCAATAGATAAAATTATATAACTAATCCATATATACTGCAGCACGATTGTAGTTTTTTCCATACAGTAGTGTACCAGGGAATAGAACCCGAAGTTAACAAACAGCTACATACATCACCACTACGGGACAACCTTTTGAATTTGCAGTGATATTTTACAATATAACTTAGTACTCTATGTGAATGATAAAAAGTTTCATAATTACTATAACAGTTGCCGTGAATCTACTTCAACATTAAAACAATATACGTTGAAAAACATAAATTAATTCAAACAGTGTATTTTTAAAAAATAAGTGTATTAAAAATTAACAATAACCCAGTATGGCTTCCGTTTAGCCATTTAAAAAATATATTGCATTTATTTGGGATTTCTCTTAAAACAATTCAGCAACAAATATTTATACAGTAGGGACAGGAAAACTAAAAATAGCGTAACTACGAAAATGCGGCGCGAAATGCGTGTCAATGAATTAATTCTGACCGACCACGACAACAGACCCTACCCCCTTTTGCTGCACGTTTGTGGATTGTCTAATGTTTTAGTAGTAGGATTTTTCTGGATGATCTCACCTTTGTCTCGACGACGAAGACGCTCGCCTCTTACGACGTGCCGTATGGGATCGCGAACTCCGCGAACTGGAATTTGAAGAGCTGGGGGGTCAAAGGAGCGCCAAGGGACAGAGGACACTCGCACACACACATTCATGCACAACAGGGCCTCATCACATCATTCCGTCGTCGAGCACACACACACGCACCCAACAGAATGTTCAGTGTCAGTAGCGAATCCCAGATGATAGACATGCAATGTTAAATGAGGTTGAGAGAAATGAAATCCGTCAGAGATTGAAAACCAAAACACCACGACGTTATTGTTATGAAAGCAAAACCCATTGGCCGGGGAAAAGGATGAAGCGAGGAACAAATTTTTAAATTAATACTAATAAAATTAAGATGTCATGACTTGAAACAAATAAAACCTATCTTGCCTTACACGTATAATAACCTATATTACGCAATATTATTCAAAAAAGGGAAACAAAAAAACTTATTGGTTGAATGATTGCCAATTATGAATAAAAATAAATATAATTATTATAAATATGTGCAGAGATGATTTGCCATAGCCACTAAATATAATATTTTATTATTATTAACTGGTAGCATCATTAGGATAACAGTTGGTTACTATAGATCACTTTATTAGCAAAAATAAAAAAACTGATATAATATCAATACAAGCACAAAATTAAAATATAGTTTATTACAAATTGGCTACGCGTCTTAATAATACCACCGGTTTTCTAGTTTTTAGTACTTCTTACTTAGTAGACTATATCAAATGACAATTATAAAAATAATAGAAACAAGTCTTTACCTATGAAATTTATGATCTTAATTATATATAAATATTTTCATCTATAAAATAATAATTATATTATAGATGAAAATTAGTAATTAGTTCATGAAATTTAATATTTGTTAGACTGAATTCATTGAATAGGTAGTTATTACAGGTCATATATAGTAAATAAAATTTTCTAATGTAATTGAACAAAATAACAATTGTAACCAATCTTCTCTCCACTGAGAACATGAGGAAAAAAGACTCAAAGTTTAATCTACTTTAAAACTCCAAAGCTTTTTTAACATATGTTTCATTTGTTGGATTTTATATGGAATTTATATCAGATAGTGTATAAAAAGTTTATACTTTTTATACACTATCTAAGAGGCTAAGGCACTTGTCTTTTGATCTTGACACCATTTCTATAATTCAATGGCAACACGTTGTACTCCGTATCTTCAATGACATATCGCACTTTGTAAGGTGAAATATACATCCCTTTACATAAAAAAATACGAGGAGCCCTATATAAACAGACTTTATATGCAAAGTTTCTCTTAAACTGTTAATAAAATTAATACCAACCCTAAGTTGTAATGAGTGCTTTTTTAAACTTCGTGCTTAATTTATGACTTACAAGCCATATTATATAATTTCATAGGTAAGGACGTTTTTGATTAAATGTTTAATATGAAATAACAAACCTTGAAGAGGAATATGAGTCATCAGAAGAGGGCGGCCTGCGTCGGCGTGCGGTGGGTTCGGCCCGCATCCACGGGTCCGCCCACTCCTCGCCCCGAGTCCCGCGCCCCTCCCGCCCCTCCCTGACCTCCCTCCCCTCGCGCAGTTCTCGACCCTCCCGAGGAGACCTGCGTTCCACTTCTGCACGCTGCACGATTACCTCTCGTGACGACCGAACGCGTCTCTGTTTAATATTCACAGTCAACTTAGTCGACAAAACAGACACTCGGCCTACTCTATATCTTAAAGTTCGGAGTGGGTACGTATACTGAGCGATAAGATGGAGAAACACCTATCATACCCACCCACTTTACTTTTGGTAAACCCAAGGAGAAAAAGTTCCTTCCCACGCGAGTATTTCCAAATAAACATACGTATAACAATAATAAATTATTTCCTTAGGTTGTACTATTATGATAGGGCATTAAGCCGTCCCAATATCCCTTGAATTATTATAAGGTAAAAAAATATAGTACTGCACCTTGTGATAAGCAACGTCGTCCGGCATCGGCACACGATCGTCGTAGGGCGGTGGGCGCTCGTACCCCATGCGTTCCCGCATGAAGCTCCGCTCGCGCTCATAGTACCGTTCGTCCACCACACCGCGTGGGAAACGACCGTGATACATGGCGCCGTATGGTCTGAATAATATTATTAAAAACAGGTACAGTGTATCCTTACAAAGTCGCCTGGATAATTATCTTTTTTCATTTGTAATGTAATGTAGAAAATACCACAATCCATCAACAAAAGCAAAAAATGGAATTGTGGATCTGTCTGCCCTAACGGTACACTGTAATTTTAATCTATAAACAAAAACAACTTATAAATCAAGTAGTATAGGGGCTGAAATAGGTGAGCCCGACCATATAAACAGACTATTAGTTGCCTTTACACGTATGCTCTTTCACTTGTCAAATATAAAGTTCCTACTGAGCTATCTAGTTTGTCTATACATATTTCTAAAAAAAACACTAGTTTTTAGTAATTTGTAGTAGCCTGTTTTAACTCAATCCCGCATTACCGACTCGAGCATGTGTGGGTGCAGTCGGTATTGAGTTTTAACAGAAACCCAAAGTATCGTACATTCCATCACTGCGGATTTCGTTTTCGAATTCGTAAGTGAGGGTTACAGAATAGGTCTACTGACCGGAAGAGTTCCTGTTCGCGGTGCGCGGGCGGCAGGTCGTGGGGGTGCGGCGGCGAGGCGCCCACGGCGGCGGCCGCGTACGCCAGCTCCGCGTCCGGGTCGTGCACCACGCCGCCCACCGACAGGTGCAGCTTCTTCTCCTCGAAGTCCATGTCCTGCTCCTTGCGCTTGTTCGCTATCCGCAACATCTGCACGTTTCATTGTCCTCTGTTATCATACCTTCGGAATAGATCTATGTAGGCGCAGTGATAAAGCACCTGACGATAGCCCAAACCACTTAATAATAAAAATTAAAGTGACACATTTGTAATTTTTCATATTAATTCTAAATACTCCATCCATTCCTTTTATTATTCTTTTTATTATTTTATAAATGAAGTAACAGGTCATCTGTTACTTTATTTATTAAATAATAAACAAGAATTTTGAATAGTGTATTTTGATAAGGTCAATAGATGTCGCTTACAAAATACCGAATATTTAAAAAAAAATTACCCTACCCGCTGCTCTTCAGTTTACCCGTGATCATGGAGATTAAAACTAAATAAGAGTTTGCGATTTTTCGACAGTATTTTAATAAATAAAGTATGATAAGATCCCGTTATTGTTTCTAATCGTACGTATAAATAATGACCGTCTTTAAAACAGTATAATATGTCTGACTGCCTTAGTCGTGTAGTGGTTTGATTCATTTCAAAGTAACAATAAGTCGGAAAATTCATATAAAAACCTCTTTAGCAGTTCGCAGTCCGCGCTCCCAGGCCGACTCTGGCGGCGCGACGTCACGCGGCGGCGCGGTGTAGGGCGCGGAGGCAGGCACGCCGCGGACCACGTCAAACATGTTGTAATTACCCTTATCGGTCACACCTGGGTGTAGAAATCTAAAACCAATTTACAACAGTAACAGCTACTAATCTACCAAACCGAAATAATGAAAATGTTACATCCAGCTAATATACAAAAATAATCAGTTTAATAAAAATCAACATATTGTTATGATACTACTTAATACATGTATAAAAAATATAAAAAAGCGACTACGCTAACAATTATCACAAATAAGGAACAATGAAACTAATGTATTATATAGATTTATTTTTTATACATTTATATATACATCAACAAGCAATAGCTTCTGTTTCAATTATTTAATAAAATTACACTTAAAAACGTGCAACAATTTATTAAAAAAAAATAAAAGACACGTAACTTATTTTACATAAGTTACGTCGCTTTTTGCAATAGATCAAAGCTGTCAGCGTCAATATAATCACTGATAGTGCTTTTAATTAAGTATAATTGTACCTGCAATTGACGCCCCACATACAAGCGCCGCGTGAGAAGAACCGGCAGACAGGCCGGGGCTCGGTCTCCTCGGGGCGCCGCTCGGCCTCGTCCGAGACTTCGCCCTCCTCGAGCGACGACCCCCGCGACCGCCGACCGGCTTTTACTTCTTCTGTTAATTTAAATAACACGCCGTACAATAACACTATTACAATACCTGCAGCTGACGCCCCAGGTACAAGCGCCGCGAGAGTAGAACCTGCATACGGGCCGAGGCTCCGTCTCCTCGGGCCGATGCTCGGCCTCGTCGGACACCTCGCCCTCCTCGAGTGAGGAGCCCCGGGACCGACAGTCCAGTTTTATCTTTTCTGCTAATTTAAATAATATTGTTTTATGCACTCCACACAGATAAGATTCATATGTGTGTATTCATCTGTCAAACCCCATCTCACCAATTTCTTTTGTATTTGGTTGATCCGATACATCCTTTAAGCCTTACTATCATACACAGCAATGGAGCATCATCATATTTGCTTTGTGTATAATTATTGCAACCATATCACAAATCTCTAGCAATTCGGGATACAAAATATTCTTTAGTTAGTCCACTTGCAGTTTACGTATACTATAATCATAAACAAAATTGATAAACTAATAGTAGAGGATATGTTCTAAAAGAGATGTTCTCTCGTCTGTTATTTAATAATGACATGTTTGTTTTTAAAGCATTTATCTGTATTTATGTACATAAAAAGTACTAAAAACATTAAAAAAAAATATCCCCAAACTAGGTCAGGCCTGTATCTCGGAGGCTGGGAGCGCGGATACCAAAAATATGCAGTATGTGTACACTTCAGTTGACTATGTTACAATTAGGTAGATTAATTATTTTATGGTGAATTATTTTACAATTAAAGTACTATATAATTCCAAATACAAGAATTAGCGATTCAAAGAGATTACTACTATATTATAAGCATTACTGTTGGGTGAATACATACAAATATATATATGTGAATATATAAAATATCACGATTTCAACTAAAGTTATATGCCATATCACCTATATGACATAACTTTTAGTCGATATCATATTTCTTTCAAGTCATTAAGGCTCTTTACACCATGAATTGTGTCCAAAGTAAGTCATTTATATTACTTATTTAATCTGTGTTTTAACAGCTTAGATCCAGGATTTGGCCCGCAACCAATGTGCGATTTCTGAACTTCAACCATTTAATTACTCTAAAGATAAACTAATTAACGAAAAATGGCTATGTGGTTATTTTCGAAGTGGGATCAAAATAAAACCATCACAATCTTCTAAAAGATGTTGCCCTGTCTAGAACTGTGCTAAGTTCTTTAGTAGAACGTGTATCTAAAGCTGTGCTAGCTCTAAGCTCCTATCTGATTTGCCTGGGTAGGGAGAAAAACACAAGCAGTGTAGGTGTGTGTTGACGTATGCCGGCAAAGGTGCACTTTAAACCTACATTCAGTTCACAAGTCTCGGGAACTGCTTGATATTTCTTTCTCTGCTACACGATGGACCCAACACCTGCACTGTGAATCCTTAAAATGCTAGGAAGTTCGTTGCATAGTATAGTTTTTATATATTTCCATTATTTTATGAAAGTAATGTTTAAATTAAAATACTAAAATTTATGTCTTCATAATTAATCAATGACCCATAAGACACAACAATTTAGTCATTTTAGCTACCTACTACTTTTGCGCACAACAGACTTCAGAGAACCTTTTACCTTTCTGAGGAAAGAAAGTATTTAAGCATAGTGAAAATTTAGCATGTTGCATATTCCGTCCAGTACCTTTTTCAACACCTTTTGAGTCCATTTCGCCATTCTGTTGTTCAACTGATTTAGGCTCTATGCACTCTCCTTCTTCTGCTTCAAAATCCAATTGCTCTTCACCATCTTCAGTATTACTAGTTTTTTCTTGTGGCACCTAAAAATAACATTAGAATTAAATTAACAAATTAATTATAAGAGTACTCAATTAAATAATTAAGGTATGACATTTTCGATCCTTATATTACTTGAATATTAATGGGATATTAACACAATTGTTAATAAAAACTTCTTAGCTTCTTTTAATTTGAATGGCTTCAAATAAGATCGGTGATTTTGCCAATGTCGTGGTTTGGGAGACACAGTGGTGTGGTTCTAATAAAAACTCATGTATGTAATGTAGAGTAAGATATGTAAATAAGGTAGATAAGGATTACATATCAAATAATAATAATAATAAGTAATTATAAATTAAAATACACAATTATTACATACTTTTTCTAATTTAGGTGTTTCTATTTTCCCATGATCAGATTTTGGAGATGAATGTGAACTTTCATTATTATTGCCATTTACACTGATGTCTGGTTTATGTTCTGGAGAAGCAGGTGGTGATTTGGGCTAAAAAAATATACATGTTATTATAATCCTAGAACTCACACACACATGATGTTGCAAAAAAGAACTTGCTTTATAAGCATAAAAATCACAGCAGAGTACTAAATCAGTACTAGGATTACTTGTTATAAATTGCATGTGATATACTCATTTCAATCTAAAAATTTTATAGCTAAAAAATTTACTCTCTGTCAATTAAATCAATAAGTGTCTACAAACAGTAGTTGAATCTTTAAACACAATACCTTCTATTTAAAATGTCTATGGCAAATAGATTGCGACTTTATAACTGATGGTAAATAAAAACTCAGTATGAAGCATATACAAAAATGGAATGAAATGTTATTTACTTTTATATCCTTGTCAGTTTCTTCTGGTCCCACAGAATCTAAATCTGATACATCAGATAAATCCTCATGACTTATGTTAAGATCTTTTCCATGTTGCTTATCACTAGTGATAGATTTAGTTATTGATTTTCTGTCATCTTGATCAGACTCCATTTCACCTAAAAGAAACAAATACCTATTTACTATTTACCTATTATATTTTGAAAATTAATTTTACAGCAAATTTAATTAATTATGAACTTTCCATATCTTAGAATATCTTTGTACTATGTAAAATAAACAAAATATATAAATGTTACCATCAGATATTTCTTCAGTAGCTGGATCTTTTAAACTGTTATGTTTATTATATGTAGAACTCCTGCTAGACTGACTTGAATCTGATCCACTACGATTTCTTGTAACTAAAACCATTTTTTGTTCAGCTTTTGTATGTCTCCTCCATGTTTCTTTTGGACTTCCTTCTTCCCAAAGATTCTTTTTTAAAGGTGACTGAGGATGTGGAGACTGTGATGATTTACGATCAGGTGACGGACTTGAAGATGGTGATCGTATATTAGGATTTCTTGTAATTGGAGATGCTGGTTGTGATGCTGAATCAGGTGAAGCTGGACGAGACCTTGGTGAACCACCTGGTGACCTGGCAGAACTGCTTGGACTTTGAGGTGTTTTTGGACCTTCACCAGCTGAGGGAGGAGCTGAAAAATACTGCTCAGGTCTTTCAGGAGAGCCTATATTTGAACCAACCTCACTGGGTGATTTCGGTGGATCCGGTGATTTAGGTCCAACTGGTGATGCAGGCATTGAATTCTCTGGAGAATTTATATCTGAATGTTCTCCTATCAAGTCCTCAGGTGACCTTGGTGCTTTGGTGAGTGAGGGTGACCGTGCAGGTAGAGACTGAGAGTGACCATCAGGAGAGGGTGACCTTGGTCCAGTTCTAGGAGATGGGGGAGACCTAGGAGGTGTCTTTGGATTTTTTTTAGAACTATCACTCCTATCCGATGAAGAACTTCTACGGCTTCTTGAACTGGAACTGCTACTACTTGATGATGAACGAGCATCACCACTACCATCACGAGAATCTTCAGAATCCATCCCTGAAAAGGATGGCAACATTTCTTGAAGAGAGATTTGTAAACAATAAAAATCCATCCCAAAAAGCATTTAATTATTATTATTATTCTTATCAACTTCATTTAATGCCAATTATGCACCACATGTTTAATGTTAGTACAGCACACATTATGATATATCAATAATGAATTGCAAGCACATAATAAAAATAATGACTAGTTTCTTATAACTTCACAGTTGAAATTTTTATACAAGTTAATTGACTCACCCTTTGTGTCTTCCTCTGTGCTTATGTCTAACATCTTAATATTGTACATATTATATACTATCTTAATATTGTACATACTATACCTTGTACAGTTGACAAATTTTGATAAACTATGTGTCAGTGTGTGTTTTCCATAATTTAATTTGTATATCAAATATAAGCAAAACATAATATATACATTTATTTTTAAGACTACATTCTAAAATTATATAAAATGTAATCAAAGGGCTGGTGCTGACCCATTTAATTACCATAATGCCACATAAAATGCATGAGAATACATTCAACTGTGAAGATATAGGAGTTCTCCCAAAATAAAATATAAAAATGAAATGTGATAATGTTGAAATATTATACTTTTACTACCATGAGCTCTTTTTTACATATTAAACTTGATTATAAAAAGTGAGATTTGTAGCCACTTTTTTTTCTAACAATGTCTCTTATTAATATTAACATTATATAGTTAACGAATTAGTGGCATTTGTTTTGATTATCTATATAAGTAATCAATGAGACAATAATTTCCAGATAGGTAATAGGTAAATAAGATAGCTAATTTTGATTCTTTAGATATTAAATTTAGACTTTTGCTTCGCTTGTTCAAATTTTGCAAATGCTACGTTCTGAATTCAGATGTTTATTGAAGACACATCCAGCCTTACCTTAAAGATGACGCCTCGACGCAAGAATCGTTGGCACTTTATAACACTTTTCATATTGTAAAGACTTTCAACTTTTATAATCACAACACAAACGAAACTTGGGTCTGTCACATTTTTATTTGTGAACAACTTTTAACTTTTATAGAACGTTATATTGACGAGAACTTATACATTCAACACTACTTCAACATGGCTGTGATTTAGAAGGAAATATGAACATAATAAATAATCACTTTCCAGAATTTCCGTAGGGTTAACTTACGCCCTTACCTTAACTGTGTATTTGACGATAAATTCTTGATGCAATTCGATAATTAATATAAATAAAAATGCTGATTTTTGCGCCGCAAAAGTGGCTCTCCGAAGCGTAGTCGTCAGAACCATAGACTAGGAAGACGGAGAGCAAAGCAAACCAAAAAGTCACAAAGCACAGAATACATAAAATTGTCCCAGCGACAGATCATAAAAAATGCTTTATTTTTTACTTTACCTACCACTTTTCAGTCGTGGCAATTTTACGTGTAATTATTCGGATTAAATGCAATGTCTATTAATGAAGTTTCATATAGTCTTATTAATTATTTAATTTTGTTCACTAGTAAAAATTAGGTTTGTCAAATGTGTCTTCTACTTACATAGTTTATAAAATCTTGGCAAAATAGAAAGATCCATAATGATGTAAAAACTAATTAAGAAAAAAATATTAAGCGCGGTAAAATTATCGTTATTTAATTTTTTTACAGAACTAATATTATATATAATTGAAACCAATCAACAAATAACTACTACTTTGCTTGTCCTTTGTATAATGGATCAAGTCTTGGAAGATAATATTTCGGAAAATGATGAAGAGGAAACATTTTTTCAAAACGTTGATATTTTACAAAACCACGGAATAAATGTCGCGGATATTAAAAAATTAAAAGCTGCAGGAATATGTACTATTAAGGGAATTCAAATGACGACAAAGAAAAAATTGAATAATATAAAAGGATTTTCGGAAACAAAAGTCGATAAAATTAAAGAAGCGTGTCAAAAAGTAGCATCCCTTGGTTTTATGACTGGCTTAGAAGTAAGCGATCGTCGAAAACAAATATTTAAGATTAGTACTGGAAGCAACGAACTGGAGTAAGGCATAATAGAACTATGTATAATAATTTGTTATAACCCATTTATAAAAAAAATATAAAAATGCAAACTTAGCAAAATACACTAATACAAGTAACAGTGTATTTTGCTATGTTCATCTCCGTAGGCGAATTTCTGTTTTTTAGTTTTATTATTGCTTTTATTTCATACGGGTCTGTAAAAAAATAATTTTTGACGGTTACCCGGCCATCCGTCAAAAATTATTTCTTTACAGCCAGGCAGGATTTTCATTACTGTGTAGAAAAAAGAACATGATTACCCTGATACTTTTATTAGCCATTAGATTGTCGCAATTGGCACAGTCGATTTTTGTTTGTTTTATGGAACAAATAGCAAACAGAGTACGGGCAGGCTAAAAAGTAAAAGTCTGTGTTACTCACACAGACTCAGTCTTTTTTTTTATTAATTATATTTGTTTCTCTATTGTATTTATTACCAGTCTCTCCTAGCAGTGAAGTTACGGGATAAGAGGCATAACATGTTTGTCCTCCGGAATAACTGCAGTTAGCGGAACTGAATATTGTAGGTGGCGTAGCGGTTTAGCACATTGAGCTAGCTTAACTTGGGTCTAGATGGCACTGTGTGTACATAAAAAACTTGTGTTTCAGTAAACTATTAGCAGGCGGCATTGAATCAATGGCGATTACAGAAGTATTTGGGGAGTTCCGTACTGGAAAAACGCAACTGTCGCACACATTGTGCGTTACCACTCAAATACCGAACTCCACAGGATACCATGGCGGAAAGGTCATGTTCCTCGATACAGAACACACTTTGTATCCTTTATTTCACTATGTTGTTCATGGATAAATAAGTTTACCGTCTCGACTATATACTCAAATGGGAAATAGAAACATTTTCAATTCACTTTGTCCTAATAAATACAAATTTTTTCGTGTTTACATTTCGCTGCGTACCTATAGATAACTGAATTGAATGTAGCTGCCATGCATCTACCCTGATTTTGAAATAGCTATAGCAAACTATACTTTATAACGTATAATTAGTAAAAATCTCGGGATCTTACTACATAGATACTTTTTATTTTTATTGAGTTCCCGATATTTCGGCAGTGTTTCAACCGCCATGATCACGGGTAAACTGGAACATAAACTTAAAACAATATATACTTCATAAATCGATATGGAAATCAGGGCTTACAAGCCTAAGTTGAGAGAATAAACAACTATAGGTCACAACTAGACTATGTTTTAGATAACTAAAACGCAGCTTAGATACAAAGTTTGCAGCTGAAACCAGACGAAAGTCTATAGTAGTCAATTATACCCAAGCGGAAGGCATTTACAAAGTCTATGTTGGTCAATTAAAGTAGATATAAAAATAGTGAGCTAAATATAGGATCAATTTTTTTACTTAGATCTTATTTGAATGTTCCCTAACTCGTGCACCAGTCGTCCCGATAGATTAAGACCAATTGCAGATCGATTTAATCTGGATCAAAGTGCGGTGTTGGATAATGTATTATATGCCAGAGCTTACACTTCTGAACATCAGGTAACTAACTAACTGTCTATAAAGACAGGTTCGCATTTACAATGTTAATGTGGATTTGGAGAACAAAAAAAAAATGTTTTACATGAATAGCGATTCTCATAGTCGCCCAAGTGTAGGTACCTAATATCATAAATGTAGCAAACAGTCATCCTGATGCTAACGGTATTTTTAATGAATTTTAAACTACTATGGTGGCAAACAAGCATAAGGCCCATCTGATGGTTAATGGTTACCGTAGCCTTTGAATGATTATGGAGTAGTCTACTCTCCTACGCTAGTGGACTAAGTGATATGACAGACGTTAATCCTATACCTGTCATATCATTTAGCCCAAAGTAGCAGATTCGTCAGGAATTAACTACAATGTTAATGACGGCCTCGTTTGTCTAGTGGTATAGAAACCTTTAATTCCGATGATCGCAGATTCGACTATGTAACACAACCTAATATTGCATTTTTTTTAATTATTTAATCTTATAAGTTTGTGGTCAATAAATTCTAGACGTATTTACATAAAATATTTATATCAGTGCTTAGTACCCATATCTGGCAAGCGAGATTGTGAAATGGTGTGAATTGTCTTGGGTCCTAGGTGTCCTGTTATTATGAGATTACTATGAGACTATATGTCATCATCATCATCATCAGCCCACTGCAGTCCACTTCTGGACATAAGCCTCTCCCAAGGCACGCCACTGGTCACGATCTTCAGCCCTTCTCATCCAGTTACTACCCGCAACCCTACGTAAGTCGTCGCTCCACCTAGCTGCGGGGCGTCCTACACTACGTTTGCCAATTCGCGGTCTCCACTCTAGAACACGCCTACTCCAGCGAGCATCGGTTCTGCGACAGATATGACCAGCCCACTGCCACTTCAACTTACAGATGCGAAGAGCTATGTCGGTGATCTTAGTTCTCTGGCGAATCACTTCGTTTCGGATTTTATCCCTTAGAGAAACTCCAAGCATAGCTCTTTCCATAGCTCGTTGAGCGACTTTGAGTTGGTGGACCAGTCGTATCGTCAGTGTCCACGTTTCGGCACCGTAAGTCATGACGGGTAGGACGCACTGGTTAAAAACCTTGGTCTTAAGGCTTTGTGGTAGCGACGACGAGAAGACTTGACGAAGTTTCCCAAATGCCGCCCAGCCTAGCTGTATTCGTCTCTTGGCCTCCCTCTCAAAGTTGTTTTTACCTAGTTGGAGCGTTTGCCCTAGATAAATATACTCCTGAGCAACTTCGAGAGATACTCCATTAATGGCGACCGGTTCCGGACGAATGCGATCATTGAACATGATCTTGGTTTTGTCCAAATTCATCCGAAGACCGATGCGTTGAGACGATTCAGCCAGGCCGTTCAGCATCTGTTGTAAATCCTGCAGCGACTCAGCCATGATGACAATGTCGTCAGCAAATCGTAAGTGAGAGATGTTCTCGCCGTTGACATTAATGCCGTAATTTTTCCAATCCAGCATTCTAAACATATCCTCCAACGCAGTTGTAAATAATTTAGGGGATATAACATCCCCCTGTCTTACACCACGCTTTAGGTGGATATGCTTAGTCTGCTGGGTTTGTACTTGGACGGTCATTGTTGCAGCGTTATAGAGACATCTCAACACTTCGATGTATCGCCAGTCGACTTGGCATCGCTGCAGAGACTCCAGAACAGACCAGGTCTCGATAGAGTCAAAGGCCTTCTCATAGTCAACAAATGCTAGACACAGAGGTTGATTATACTCTTCTGTTTTCTGTATAACCTGCCTTACTGTGTGAATGTGATCTATGGTGCCATAACCACTTCGAAACCCGGCCTGTTCCGGGGGTTGAAACTCATCAAGCCTTCGCGCAAGCCGATTCGTGATGACTCTTGAAAATAGCTTGTATATATGGCTTAACAAAGAGATGGGCCGATAGTTCTTCAGTAGGGTTTTATCTCCCTTTTTGAAGAACAGAATAACTATGGCCCTACTCCATGCCTGTGGAGTTCTCCCGGTGAAGAGAACGGAATTGAAGAGTTCCTGAAGTACCGCAAGTACAGGAGTACCTCCAGCCTTCAGGAGCTCAGTGGTTATTCCGTCTTCACCTGGGGCTTTTCCATTTTTGAGCTGTTTAAGAGCCATCACGATCTCGTCACGACTAATTTCGGGCATCTCCTCAGTGTAGTGGCGTGTCAGAGGAGCTCTGGAATCGACAACAAGAGATTCAGGCCGATATGCATGTGAGGCGTACAGTTCTCCGAAAAAGTCTGTCAAGTCAACTTCCGAGAGAATCTCCGGCGTAAAAGCGGTAACCGTCCCTGCAGATGTGGTTACCTTCGACAAGTGCCTCCTTTCTAGCTGTTGGACGAACACTTTTGATCCCCGATTCTGCTCAATTGCTTTTTCAATTAAAAGTGTGTTCGAGGATCGGAGATCACGTCGTACCAATTTTGAAATTTTTTTATTCAATACCCGGTGTTCTGGTGATGTTAGCGTTGAGGACTTGTCGCGTCGATGTTGAATAAGCTGCAGAGTCTCTCCCGAAAGTCTAGTCCTTTTTCCTGTACGCCTCTTCTCGCAAAATTTCGTGCCTTCATCCTTGAGGCAAGCTATTATAGTATCGAGTCTTTGGTCAATACTGTCTGTGGTTTCCAAAACAGCAAACCGGTTTTCCAGTTTTAATTGGAATGCTTTAGAACCAACGATGGTTTGGAGCATATTTGGCCGGAGCGTCGACTTCATCAGGCGTATTCTTTCCAGCTTGAGATCGATATTCAGAGAGCCACGAACTAATCTGTGATCGCTTCCGGTTTTAAACCTAGTGATCACAGAGACATCTCTGAATATACGCTTCTTATCCGTCAAGATGAAGTCGATCTCGTTTTTGGTCATAGAGTCGGGGCTCTGCCACGTCCACTTTCGTTGAGGTTGTTTCTTGAAGAAAGAATTCATCAAGAACAACCCCTCTTTCTCTAGAAAGTTGACGAGCATTTGCCCCCTATGATTCCTACTATCAAAACCATGTGGTCCCATAGCTGTCGATTCGCTGCCGGTTTGGATTCCCACTTTAGCATTAAAATCCCCCATAACAATGTTGTAGAATGCCTTTGAGGTGTTATGTATGGCCTTGGATATGTCTTCGTACATACTTTCTACTTCATCATCCGAGTGTGCCGATGTCGGTGCGTATACTTGCACAACTTTAAGGCTATACCTCTCAGTTAGCTTTAATACGAGATACGCAACCCTATTCGACACACTGGAGATTTCTACAACATTGTTTATTAGGGTCTTATGGACCAAAAACCCGACACCCCCTTGGGAAGGTTGTTCTCCCTCCCTGAAATACATAAGATGGCCAGATTCCAGAGTCATGGTGTCCTCCCCCTCTCTTCGGACTTCACAAAGACCAAGAATATGCCATCTTATATATTTCAGTTCTTCTTCCAGTTGCGCGAGGTGTTCATCCAGTCGCAGTGTACGTCCGTTATACGTAGCCAGGGTCAATGAGTGTTGGCGGCCTACCGTAGCCCGGGGATTCTTAGCACCCCTTGCTCTGCCGTTACCATGACCGCCGCCTTGGCCAGGAATAGCAGAGCGGCCGGGAACTAGGGGCCATGGTTGTGTAGGACCTGTCATGGGAGGAATGTGCCCATAATCGCCACGCTGGGCATGCGGGTTGGCGATCGCAGTACACAGTTTCTCGCACCGATGACGCTGCTGCCCATCATCAGTCTGTGGGATTTGAAACTGTGTAGTTAGAATGGTTATACCGCCATTTGTCGGTCGTCAGAGCCTCGTCTGTTATTTAGCAGGATGTACCGCGAGCAGGTGAGGTTGACTTAGAGCACTGGGCTGGTGTTCGCGCTCCCTTACATCCCTATAAGGACAGACTATATGTAAATCAACCCTAATAGAGCCACTGTCGCCAATTATAATAACCACCTTCCACCTCCATTGACTATTAGGCAAGTACTACCTAACTAACTTAACCTCATATACTATTGTGTTTCGAGAAGGTCCGTTTCAAAGATCATTGTCGCGTATGAAACGGAATATGAACAATATCCTAAAACGTTCTGTATTTATATTACACCCCTAAAGAGAGTAAACGGTAAGAGAAAGAGACATTAAAAAAACATTTATCATAAACAATCAACTAACCGTTTTTGTATGGCATCATAATATGGTATGCATCTAACGTTTGAATGACTATATACTTACAAATAGTTACACGGAAATACATTTTATAAACGTGATAATCTTTATACCTATTTAAGACTCACAGTAATGACTTGATTCACGAACTATGTGAAGGACATTCGTCCATCGTACGCATCTATAAGCGCATTGATATTTTGGTATTTATAATATCGACGAAACGCGTACTCTTATGGGCACTGATACATTTTTTTTATACTATGATGGTGGCAATCACGCATATAGGACTCGATACAAAACAAATCTCTGTATCATCTTAATACAGGAGTATACCTACAGATGATGATAATAATAATTATGGACCATAGACAATTCACATAACATCATTTAGTACCAAACTAAGCAGAGCTTGTACTATGGGTACAATCAAGTTGATAGATTTTTTTTATCCTATATATGTGTATATAATATACATAGAAAACCAATACAAACAATTATTTTCACAAATACAAATCTTTGTATCGTGCAAGAATCAAATCTGCAACCATCGGGAGTAGATATGTTGGTGTGCTGAATCACTAGACCATAAATTGACATCAACATCAGTTATCTATCCTGAATTATGTTACCATCCTTCGAATTGAAATAGTCTAGTTCATTTCGATAATTCATGATAGTATAGTATAACAATAGGTTTTTATAAAATATATCTTAGGTATTGTTTATAAATTTAGGCAGAGCTATTGGATTACGTCGCTGCGAAGTTTCACGAAGAGGCCGGCGTGTTCAAGCTTCTGATTATAGATTCCATAATGGCGCTCTTCCGGGTCGACTTCTCTGGACGAGGAGAACTAGCCGACAGGCAACAGAAACTGGCTCAGGTTTTGTCACGGCTACAAAAGGTAAAATATCAAGGACGATTTATTTACTTATTATTACTACTTAAACCGCTAGACCACCAGTCTAGCGGTTTAACACATCGCCTTACTTCCGATGGTCGCGGGTTCTATACCTCGCACAGCACAAACATTTGTATTCATAAGTATGATTGTTTGTGTCGGCTACTTTTATTTTAGAAAATAAAGTTAAATTTCACGCAGCCGAAGTCGCGAGTACAGCTAGTTTATAATAATCATAATATTAATCAGCTACTTTAACATAAAATTCATTCATTCATTTTAAGGTGACCCAATTAGGTGTTTTTTGACTGCTAACAAAATTGCCAGCATACGCTATATAGCAATGCAAAACTTTTGCGCGTAAAACAAGATTTCTTATCCTTTGCAGCGCCGACCGTAGTATGTACTTTGTTTTTGAATAGTTGCTCTCCGCAGGTCGTGGCATCGATAACAAATGGTATAAATATGTACTCATTACTAAAAAAATCATATTTACAATATTTTTTATCACTCGTCATCATGTACTAAGTGGGTGTACTAATTAACGTAACACATTGTCACTAAAATAGTACGACATACCTGGACATATTGAAATTAGCTCTGTTTTGGCATAACTATGTTATTACGGTCTCAAAACAAAATAAATAGCTGTAAATGATAATAATATGACTATGGTTCATCGCATGAATGTTGATGTTGTATGAATGTTATTACGATTTTGGCTAAAATGTACGTGGGTATCACATTGTGTTGTATACAAAGTACTAACTTCAGTGTATAAGACAGTACTTATTAATTATTAGGCCCAAGATCAGTGTAAAGGGAGATAATAGACATCCGGCTACATCACACCACTCCACAGGGGTGATTGACCCCAATATTACATCGTTGTCGATAAGAAAATTGGTTGTGATTACTTGTGACATCGCAATTGCTATAATATTACCTAGCATAGAGAAATAGTTCGAGATAGTTATACAGATAGGAAAATACTTACACATTTGAATCGACGTTCACACACACGAAATCTACGTAACAGAATCACTCAATTTTCACAAAAAGAAATAGAACCTATATTTAATAATCCTGTTTTGTATCTCTTTTCATTCGTTTGGATTGTTCACCAAATCAGTATAATTACAAAAAATGTACAAGATACCTCTATGTAATAATAAAGATATCTGTCCCAATTTATATTCCGGACTGACCCTCTGATATTGGAAACATCGTCAACAAAAAATAATCTTTGAGACGGCAATGGGTTCGTCTCCCTTTTGCATTGCATTTCATATATAATTTAATAATAATAATTTGTAGTATATTGTTAAATCTAAGTTAAGTTATAAATTTCTGCATGCCCGATAGGGTTGTAACTGTTGTTTTGGTATAACTCTATATATATATATATATATATATATATATATATATATATATATATAATACACATATATAGAGTTATACCACGTACAAATTAGTGTACCCACACAGTTAGCAATAAAGTTCTACTCATATCTAAAAAAGTCAAGCGCTGCGTTCACCATAATATAGATAGTTGACAATGCTTCTCACTACCCTATCTGGTGTATAATAGTTATGAATGTCTATTCTTATTATTTATATATTGTCAGATTTCAGAAGAATACAATGTCGCTGTATTCATAACAAACCAGATGACAGCGGACCCAGGGGCGACTCTCTCTTTTCAAGCGGACCCAAAGAAACCTATCGGTGGTAACATCCTCGCCCATGCCTCTACTACCAGGATATCCCTGAGAAAAGGCCGAGGCGAAAACCGTATTGCCAAGATCTATGACTCCCCCGATTTGCCTGAAAGTGAAGCCACTTTTGCTATAACCAATGGTGGTGTATCAGACGCTAAAGATTAAAGATTATAAATAGATTTACTCAACGTTTGCATTTGACCTCCTCTTATAAATGTGCATCTCAATGTATCTGTAATTTCGTGTGTCACACTTTAATTTCTACCTATTTCCTGAAATGACACAAAAAATGTTAAAAATAAAAAAAACCATAGACCTTGAATCTCCATACATTATTTGTAAGTTTAATTTCAATTTACATTCGATTTAATAAAGTAATTGATTGATTAAAGAACCATCTCAATCACGTCTGCATTCAAACAAAAAAAAAACGCATCGTGATAGGTTCATTCGTTTAGAAGCTTAGAAACACGAGATGTTAAACTTATAACATTTTGCGTCTCGGGTAAAAAATATATATTATGTATCTATTATATATATAAGGATTATTGTCTTCATATGTCTATGCATATAGGATAGAATGAACATCACATAATACTTAGTTATATAATCAACTTATTGATGCTGCGACATATAGGTAGACGACGTTGATAAAAGTAGACACAAACTTAATGATAAAATTATAGGACTTCATACATATATCAGAAAATAATATGTGTATATGTATATAAAAACTATAGTATGGTAGTTTCCCTTAGATTTATAAAAAAATATCATTTTAGGTAGTTACATCTTAAACATTCTAATTTAATATAAATAGAAGAAGTAAGTACCTATTCTGTTATTACAGCAGGCAATCTTAAATTACAATAATAACCCTGGACAATTCACATAGCGCCATCTAGTCCAAACCCAAGCGGATCTTGTGTTAAAAAAAATAACTGTCAAAAATACTTTTTTTTAAATAAGATGAACTAACTTCAACACTACAATACAAATTGTATCTTCAATAACCTTTTAGCCTTTATACACAACAGTTATGCAGATCGTGTAGTTCTACTAGACGTGTGTCGGTGTGAAGGAGTCCAAAAGTCAATGAAATCGTTTCGTATTCGTCACTAGTGGCGCGGTGGCGTGATTCGTCCGAGCCAATTAAAATACTCGCTATGATTAGATTAAAAAAAGTTATTTACTATAATATCTATTAATAGTTAATAATTTATGTTGGCACATTCCATTATTGCAAGCTTTTTAATTCTGTAATTTTTGACAAACTATTCTTCCGTTACCGTGTTTGCTACATGACCACACCTTGATAAATCATACATAATAGGTAGGCCTACCTACTTGTACAAAAATTACTTCATTGGTAGTCGAGGTACTTAAAGTATACCTTTAAAAAAATACATGTTTTAATTTTTTTTTAGAGGATGATAATGGAATGGTGCACCCGCCTGCACGCCTAAAGGTTTACGCTGGCGGGGCACCAGTGGAGGATGATAGGATGAACATGAAGTCAGATTAGTTAGCCCATCGTGACAATTTCACCGAAAATTTATCACCATGGTTTCTAGGGGCAACCGCGTGGAGGTCGACCTGACATGGTACATTGCTAGCAATGGGATCATTAGTCCACATTACTAACAATCCCCTTCCCCCTGACATGTTTTAGTAGGTTAAGCCTATATACTATTTGAATGTGTGTTACGTCCTATGTTAATTTCAAAACAAAATATTTATTATTTTCGGACAGGAATGAAAAAGTATATTTTTACCACATTAATTATTGTTCGGCGGAGACATAAAGCAAATTAACTACTTAACTTCGAATTGTTTCCATCCTTTGTAGGTCTTCCCATGGTCTAACTGACTTGACCTCGTGCTCATCTTATTATCCTCCACTGGTAACCCGTTAGTGAAAACTGTTAGCGCAGGCGAGTGGACTATTCTATTATCATCGTCTAAATATACATTAGATTTTATCTTGATTATTTATCTAATAACATTAAGTTTCGTATTGCAATAAATTCTAATGGATAAACTAAATGGGTCGCGCAAACAATTCAGACGCCATTTTTATAAAAGAGCAACTGCTAAGAAATTTATTAAATGTTATTAAATTTCCAAGAAATTATTCACATTATGGCACGACGATTTTTAGGGTTCCAAATAATCTAAAATGGATAGACAGCGGGACTTTGTTATACCCCTCACAACGTGAATTTTGTCATTCCGGTAGTCTGTCATATAACGTTACAAAAACTAATTTGAAAATGACTCGTAATAAAATTATTTTTTTTTAAATCTTTTTCACGTTTTTAATAAAATGTATAATTTAATAACTATATTCTAAATATTTTTTTTATGCTGCGTAGTCATTAAGTATTTATGAAAAATATAAAATTTAATCAACTTATATTATTTGTCCAGAACCCTCTGTATACGAGTGCAGTTCGAGATTACCATTTATGTACTTACGAATGAATGATATTTTTGTCAATCAATTATTTCATCCCGTACTATTTCTGTGTTGCCTTATAACCACGCTTTGGGGCTAGGTCTAGTTCTTTTCTTCCTTATTGAACCATCTTTGCCTCGACGTCTAAGAACAATAATTAAAATAAGTTTGCCTATTGTTATTAGTTTGATTTAATACATAGCATCAAATCTTGATACATTTAAATTTATCCATTAGTTTTAATAATTCCTTTCACATCCTTTAAAAGGATAATTTATCTTTTTTTTTGTAATTGGAAACTCAAAAATGTATAAATTTAGACATGATATTGAATTAAACATCTCAAGCAAGAATTTCGTTTAAACCCAAAAACATGAAACCTCAAATCAATAAGTTATTGTTCTGTGAATAACCCGAGTTTACAGGCAACACTTGGCTAGTCATCATTCATTCATTATTATCAATCAGTCAGTCAGTGTATTCATGTCTTCATGAACTTGTTAGTCGTATTCATTGCAATAAAGTATTGTTAATTTATTTAATAATACATAACTGATTTGTCGTTATTATTCATTAGATACCGGATAAAAAGTTATATTTTGTGTTCTAATTCAAAATATGAATAATGAAAAAGAGAAGAAACTAATTCGTGTTTGGTGTGATGGATGGTGAGTAAATTATTTTTCCGCTCGTGTGTTAATACATCCTCTATTTTTAAAAACATGCATACCGCAATCAATGATATAATATTAGAAAATTACTCATGAGTCAGGAGTACTAAATCTATCCTTAACCAAATTAATGAAATACTGCCGCCTAAAACTAAGGTTTTTTTCAAATCCTTATTTTTTTAACCACAATAAACAAAAAACAATTAATAAACACGATGAACAATTTCAAAATTGAGATCTATCCTTTTTATACGTCCCAATTTATTTTTAATAATTTTTCAGTTATGACATGGTTCACTTTGGCCATGCAAATTCATTGAGACAAGCAAAAGCATTGGGAGATGTGTTAATAGTGGGAGTACATACTGATGAAGAAATAGCCAAACATAAGGGCCCACCAGTGTTTACCCAAGAGGAGAGGTACAAAATGGTTCGTGCCATCAAATGGGTGGACCAAGTTGTGGAAGGTGCCCCTTATGTTACCACACTAGACACATTAGACAAGTACCAGTGTGATTTTTGTGTACATGGAGGTATGATTTTTTATATACCTAAGTGCAACAAATTGCTATTCATATTTTTACTTTATAAATTTATTATAGTCTGCTACTTGATCACATTAAAATTTTTAGTTTTAATAAAATATATAGCAATATATTTTAGAATAATAAATGAGACGCCTACTTTTTATTTTAATTGGGTAAACTAGTTCATATGCTATAAATGTTTTTATTTATATTTATCACATCCTAGGTAAGTCCAATTACCTTGTGTCTTAAAAAAATGTGTTTCTAATGTTTTATTGTGTTCGAATAGTACTGAATTATTCACATTATAAAATGGGTAAACATTTAACTTATCTCAACATTATACATTTTTTATTGATATATATTACTAAAACTTTAACATTGCTAGTCCCTCCACTATTTTATCACACTGCTATATTAAAGAAAAGAAATGAAATTGATTTGAAATCAAGAATAGTTTTAGATCATCATAGATTTATCAGATGTACTGTAAATAATAATTTGCAAAATTTTATAAGATGGTTTGAATTGACAACAAAAATTTAGAGAATATATTAAAAAATAGATTCGTTTTAGAATGTGTGATTTTAAGTTTCATATGGAAAATGTAAATTAATTTCCCTGGGATAAAAAAATAAACATATGTACTCTTGTTTTTACTGCACTCATAAAATGTACTGTCAATTTCTATTACAAGAATATACCTAAATAGTTTACTTATTGTTTCTTCAAAGCTGTTGGTATTTGAGTATGAGTCATTCATTAACAGTTGATTAATGTATTAATTTTGCAATATGATAACAATAAGGGATATTTAAAATGAACATCATTTTCACATTCTATTTTAATAACATTGTTAACTTGTCATGTTCAATAATTCACATACTTTATAATAAAGTGCTTTAAATCAAAATAATAAATTTAGGAATATCAACTTTAATATTTTGCTTTATAGTGGATGGTCCAAAATTTTTTTATAGTTGTAACATTTTATTATTAAGTGTATGAATTGATGCATAAGATGAGATATATACATCTACATATTTATAAGATGACCCATATATAGCGCATCTAGTATAAAACTGGATAAATTAACATTATGCAAACTTTAAAAATTCCACTCTAAAGTTTTATTTTTAAAGTCTAATTAAAAATTTTTTGGAATAATCCAGTATTGTGCTAGGAATGGAATATATTATTTTACTGCCTGGTAGTATTAGGATAGTCATAAGATAAAACAACATTTATGCAATTGTGTATTTTACAGATGATATTACAGTCACTGCAGATGGAATTGATACATATCATTTGGTGAAGGAAGCCGGCAGATACAGGTATCTTAATTATTTATGTTTTACCTATTATATTGTCTGTTAAAAATTGTACTCAGTATTCATTTTATCTTTATGTGGAAACTTAAGACCTTAGTGGTATAGGATACTGCTTCACTTTCCTATGGTTGTGGGTTTATTTCCTACACTGTAGAGATCATTATATTCATGAATGTGTAACTTTTTCTGTGTATTCACATATCTATTAAGTATTAAGTATATTTAAGTATGTCTGTTATTTGTCTGGTACTCATAATAGTAGCTTTTATAAACTAATTAGTTTGGGGACTACATTGTGTTTTGTGCATTTTTTGGATTGTGTTATTTATTTAGTAAACAATCTCGACATATGATTATGTTATCAAAATAACGATCTGTAAAATGTACATAATATCTAGATTAAGTTTTTCATATTAACTGATTACAATTATTGAATAATATATGTTTTACTTTATATATATTCCTTGTTATATACAATTAATTTTTATTCGACATAATAAAAACATATCTTAAAACTGTTTATTAAATATGTCAAAGAAAATAGATTGAACCTGTTGTTATTTACTCATTAACTTTATGCAGGATGCATTAAGACTTACAAGTACATACTTCACACATCACTAAATCACAAAAACATATGCAATACCTCTCGTGAATTTGATGGACTGGATGGAGATTACTACATATATCCTACAATACGACATTGTTATGAACCACTATTGCCTTTATGACGTTAAAGTATTTCTTAGGTGCATAAAAATCAACGTAACTTATTAAATAATAAAATAAAGTAGGTAAATAGTAAATTTCGGATATACTGTCGAGAAAGGATTCCTTTTCGGTAGTTGATGAATGACACTCACAAAATGACAATGAAAATAATTTATTCATAGGACATATTTTTGTATGACAAAATATTTATTACTATTACTATCGTTCAATTTTACTATCGTTATCTATTTCAATTGAGAAGAAACTCTACTGGTACATATATCTCTCGATCACATATCACATGCATGAGTTAATGTTGGCACTTGTATAAGGGCGCAGGTGGTGGTATATTATGTAATATATCTAAACGTATCTAACTGATATAATGTAACAAGTCTCACAACTGAAATCTCTTTGAAACCTTCTTTTTAGGTTTTCGCGGTTATTATTAAAATGCATAGTGTCGATATTTCACATAGGTCCGCATTTCTACTGTCGCGTGTACGTCGTGATCCTGACTCTTCAAACAGAGTCGAAATATCGACTCAAATAAATAAATAATTGTGGTAAGAACCCGTTAATTATGTATATTAAGTTTTCTTAATTGAAATCTATGTACAGTAAATATCCCCATCTACGTAAAACTTTCGCGACACCAGTTTAACAATACTTTTACACTAAGCAATTAGGTGTGCCAATATTTTAGTTAAATAGAATACAGGAAACAAGTTGAAGTTGCTATCTCGTTTAATCCTGTCTATCAAGTAATTCTAATACATGCGTTAGTTTTAAGACAAGACAACAAATGATGCCGTGACCAAGGGAAATAGGGATTAGTTTATTTTTTAGTAATGTACATTGTACTGAAATTAATTTAATTTTTAGGGAAGTGATGAGAACAGCTGGAGTATCCACGACAGATCTAGTTGGGCGAATGCTGCTACTGACTCGAGAGCATTTCAAGTAAATATAACTTGTATTTATTAGATACTAATATGAAGATACTTAATATGAAAGTGCATGGTATGTATAGAGCAAAGATAGCCGAAATAACTATGCCAAGGGGATAAAGAAACCAGTCCTCTTTTATTTCTTTCACTAATCTGCTATTAATTGAATGGAGACTATTTCGTCCCACTGTCGTTGGTCCATTTTATCCTAACGTGTCTCCCGATTAAAAGCGGCAACTATTTTGAACAATCAAAAGTATTACGAATACGTAATATAAATTGTGACAACTTTAGTATTCATATATCTATAGAAATGACTTCTATGACGAATTTTTAGGCAATGTCGCAATGTCAAAGGACATTGCGTAAAAATCCTATTGATATTATAGACGCGAAACTTTGTAAATATGGCTATTTTGATTTTATAAATCTTTCCAATAAACGGATTCGAAGTAAATTTGGTACACAAATTCATCATATTATATTAATTATATATAGATTGACACAGGACATTTTTTACCCGAATTAATAGCACGCAGTGCTACTGGATACGGGTAGCAAAAATATATTTTAAAAGTCGTCTGCCGATTCATCTATTAACAAAATAGTAATGACATCCTTTGTTATACTTATTGCAAAGAAATAAAGATTTTAGTATGTATTGAACAAATTTTTGCACTTAAGGAATATTATGGTCTTCAGGAGAGGTGACAGAGAGTACACTGTGGCTTTGGAACACTCGTCTAATCTCGGAACAGATTCCACCGCACGATCTCCGTACACTGGTTGCTCGCAATTTCTCCCCACCACGCAGAAGATAATTCAATTCAGCAGTGGTCTCTCGCCGAAACCTACTGATAGGGTAATTATTGTTTACTACTGGTACAATTTATTTCATAATATGTTTCTTTTATCGGTTTTTTCCATCAGCTTGCTTGTATATCTATGTTTAATATATATAATTGGAAAGTTAAAAAACGGACTTCCACAGTTAGCCCTCACCTAAGGCTTTACATGATCAGCACTACGGACATTACGTTTTCTTATTATGTCTATAATTCCATTGCTATTCGGAAGGACTAAGATGTCATGCTTCAATATTCTATAATTTCACACTTCAACTGAAACACAGTTTGAAGCAATCTACCTGTGACTGCTGCTGTGATAGGTGGGACTGAGGATTCCACGCATGCGACTGTTTACTAAGTTTCGGTAAAATGTAGTTGTTAACAACAATCACCTACAGACTTCCTCATCATCGCGTATGCCTATATTAAAATGTTAACAAAATACTAAAACAATCTAAGTATAGAAATGGGAATGAGGCCTAAATGTTGTAATATGAGCAAAGTCGAGAAACAGGAAAAGTTAAATACGTTATTAAAATTTAATTAGACCATGATGTACTAATAATTTTACATTGAAATAAACCTTATCTATACGTTTTGTGTCCGTTTTTAACAGCGTCAGTTATCTACAAATACATTATTTTATCACTTCAAGTATGCTCATTCCTCGCATAGTTTCCAATTTTGACCTAATATCTGTATTTATTATTTATACTATGTAAACTGGTACATCACGATGATTAAGTGGTATTAATTAATCAACATAAATATAATAAACAATGATAATTTTGTGTGTGAATCCGAAACCACCTACTTTTGTAAAAGTGTCATAATACTAGGTGGCTATAGGATATGTAATAATTAATACACATAATCCCATGGATTATCTGGATTTGCCACGGATTACTATAAATAATGTAAATAGTATTATACTACAGTCATAATTATTCGGAATATAGTTTACATTTCAAACATCACTATAAAATGTTCTATTTTCCGACCTTTACATGTTCACCATTGTTTATACTATATAAATATAAAACTTTAATTATGTAAATCAAAATGCCGTGAATGTTGTAAACAATTGCCACAAGTCGTGACGTAAACGCGACATTACTATTCACTATTTTGCAATTTTGCTTATGTAACTGAAAGTATTTCAGTCACATAAGCCTCAACAGTCAGGCAAGTTAGCCTATGTACAGATTCTTTTACTGTTATATGTATATAATAGTAATCATTATTTATTTATTTACGAATTTTCACATGTTCACGTTAACATTAATTCGTACACTAGGCTGGGCCTACTACTTGTATACCTGTTTAAAAGGTGTAAGAAAATATATTATAAATATATCTAAATATAATGGATTCGGAATTTAAAGTCCTACACATATAAAATTTTACAATCTTTACAAAAAGAGGTATCTAAAATGGCTTTATTATTTACCTAAAACTGTATTGATTTATTTGTCTATGACGTCAGTGCTAGTAATTAATTTTGTTTATCTTGTTTTTTTACAGGTTGTGTATGTAGCAGGGGCATTTGATCTCTTTCATGTTGGTCACTTAGACTTCTTAGAGGAGGCTCATAAGCAAGGAGATTTTCTCATAGTAGGCCTGCACACAGACCTCGAGGTCAACCGCTATAAAGGATCCAATTACCCTATTATGAATCTTCACGAACGCGTCCTTTCTGTCCTAGCTTGTAAGGTAATTTTTTTATTTAGCATCTTCGATAATACATAAAGGCACTAAGAATGTACTTAAACCAATGGAAATTTGAACATAAATTTCAAATTTACACATTTCTTTCTCAAATGAAACTGAAATTAAAAATCACATTATATTTTAGACTACTTGTAAACAATAAGGACCGATCTTTTGACAATCATATGTTGTTTAACACACTTAATGGTCCTACCTTCAATCCCTATAGTTTGTTAGTTCTGTTTGTATATATATTTGTGATACAAGGCCTCTGCGCAGAGCATGGATTTATTGTTCTAATATTATTCTTTTTGTAACTGGATCATTACAAATACTTAGAAAATAAAATAAAAACTTATATTGTCATGTAACGCATGTAGTAGCACTCTTGTGTTGCTGTTTCTAAGGACAAAGACGTCATGTTTCCATACCCCGAAATTTCTATGCTATGTCCCAACCATCAGACCAAAACTAGTTTTCGAAGCATACAACTTGACGGCAGAAATAATAAACTTATATTTATTATTAACATACCGTTTACCACGGTAAATGTAAAAGATACAAAAATAATGTAAATTATTCTACATTGTACCTATTACTGAATTACAGGTGCAATCTAGTTGACAATAAGTTTGTGTATGTATGTGGAATACCATTATTTACTTTTATACGCCAAGTATACTCAATTGGTTTAAAGAGCTATGTAAATAATGTTCATGGTCAAGTATAATTTTAATGACCTTTGCTTCGGAACCGATATGACCCGTGTTATTTCAGTGAATGAATCAAGAGTAATGTATGGATAAAGATCTTTGACACACTATTTAGTATATATAAAATATGACGTAAAGACAAAGTGAAATGAGAATTGTCTGTACAGTATAAATTGTAATTTTTTTATAAATCAACCAGTGTAATGTCCCAATAAACCATACTTATATTTCATAACCTACTTAAAAAACGAGATTATCAATTCTTTGACATTAATTGTTTTTTTAATTCATAGGATACTTATAATTTTTATTATGGAATTGTGTTAATAAAGATGATTTAAAATTTTTCATGTTACAGTATGTTTTTTTTTTTGAGGCTTGATAATGGAATGGTGCACCCGCCTGCGCTAACGGTGAGTGAGTGTGACGTCAGGTCAGTTAGCCCATCGTGACAGATTTACCAGTAATTTAACACGATGATTTCCAGGGGGAACTGCGTGGAGGTCAACCTGACATGGTACATTGCTAGCAATGGGTCAGAAGTCCTCATTACTAACAATCCCCTTCCCCCCTGTTACAGTATGTTTTTTTTTTAAAGGATTATAATGGAATGATGCGCCCGCCTGCGCTAACGGTTTATGCTGGCGGGCACCAGTGGAGGATGATAAGATGAACATGAAGTCAGGTCAGTTAGCCCAACGTGACAAATTCACCAGGAATTTAACACAATGGTTTCCAGGGGGAACCGCGTGGAGGTCAACCTGACTTGGTACATTGCTAGTAATGGGGCATGTGGGGCATGAGTCCATATTACTAACAATCCCCTTCCTCCCTGTTACAGTATGTTCATGAGGTAGTAATCGGAGCGCCATACAGTGTGACCGCTGATCTAATGGATCACTTCCGAGTTAAGGTGGTCTGCCATGGGTTAACGGCCACCACACTAGACGTTGATGGTTCCGATCCGTACAAGGTGCCCAAGGAGCGTGGATGCTTTAAGGTTTGGAAATTTGTAGTAATGTAATAATAACAGTAATAAAAATTCAATCAATTTCAATTCACGTAACACTCTAGTCGCAAGCTAAGCACAGCCTGTGTTATGGTTACTAATCAAGTAATAGAAAAACGTAGTGACTTTTTTGTAAATCTATATACATAGAAACCACACAGACCAATACAAACAATCATAGTTATGAAGTTTCTATCGTGCGAGAAATTGAACCCGCGACCGTCGGTATTAGGGCGACCAACGAGGTTATTTTTAATGAATAAAATGATGCACCCGCCTGCGCTAATGGTATACTAGCAGGATACCCATGGAGGATGATAAGATCAGAATGAGGTCAGTTTAGTTAGTCCATGGTGACGAGTTCATTAAGAATTTACCACGATGGTGTCCAGGGGTAACCACGTGGTGGTCAACCTGACATTGCACATAATAATTCCATACAATTTAGACAATTATGTGTACAGGTTATATTATTATCATTTTTAATATCATGTCCGTTTTTACATATTCCGTTTGTAGTTCATATAGTCGAAAATTCGTTTACATATTACGGGAAAGTCCTATAGGAGTAGTAGACCTACTAGTCATATCTCACACAGAATGAAATATGTAATTTACCAAGTGCTCTAGACTTCATTTAAAGTTTTTATTTACTGTCACTTACATTTTCCCAGTTGCCTTTTATTTGAAATGAAATAGTAATACAATATTTCATACTTATTTTCAAATGAGACATTACTTACATATGTTATTTTTACAGGTATTAAATTCGGGTAACACCATGACTACAGATGACATTGTTCAACGAATAATTCGGCATCGACTAGAATTTGAGGTCCGAAACTCTCGCAAAGAACAAAAGGAACTTGCCATGACAAAGGCCTTACAGAAGGGCCACATCAAGCTAAATGGAGACTGCGATCATACAGCGAAGGCGGCGAGTTTGATCAATCATTAATATATGCATTTTGTTACCAAATAAATTATTTACTTATTTTTATTATATGTAGATTTGTTGTGCTGTTTAGTTAAACTCATAAATTAAACTGTTTATTTAATGTAATTTAATTATCTGTTGACTGTTATTGAATATATTTTTACATTAACTATTGGGTGATAATAGATTTATCACCCTACAATTCAATTGCTAAAAAAATAAATTATTTAATGTGTTATTTTTCGTATCAACTTATTAAGTAACGGAGGCGTTTCTCGAAACCAGTAATTAAAGATTGTTTTAATTTTTAGGACTTGTTAGAATTTTAAATTTATTTCTATAAAATCGAACTCAAGACCATTTTGCAGGTTATATAAAAACAAAGTCACATGATGATAAACATCATTAAAAATCTACCATGGTATCACTTGGATATGTATGTTCAAATGTCGAGTTCATACTTTCGTTTCCTATTAAGTCAACAGTCAACAAAATGCCATTGTTTACTTTATAATTATTGCATTTTCATTTTCATTTCATAGGATATCTGTATGTTTCTTATTACATTTTATTTTTTATTAGCATATTCAAAAGAAAATCATGAAGATACGTAAACGCATAAACTGCTTTTAAAATACCGCTAAGGGTTGTTAATTGTAATAAAAATTAAATATGGACAAAATAAGTTCTTTGAAATGAAAAAAAAACTGAATATGAATAACGATTATTTTGAATATTTCGACTACTAGAAGCGAATAATATTAAATGCAACAGATACCAAAGTACTGTTAATATTACAATAATTTATTACATTTACTAGATTGAAGAATTAGAGGTCCTACTATTACCATTCTGCCACCTGATAGCTTTGCATAAGAATTCGTAATATAAATTAAATGTTTTTTTGTAAATGGGTGTATAAAATCACTTCTTATATAAAATGTGCATGTTTTAAATACGGTTATTTTATATGTATTGAGTATTATATATAAAATGGTAATTTTAGATCCTCTAAATACATTGGAATATAAGACTTCTATTTTTCTATATCCACACATATTTAATAACAATATTACCATGTCTTTTTATCGAAAAAATATTCACTTAGTAAAAGAACTGATATAAGTACCTTGCTATTAATTTTGTACACGCCTACTTGTATAAAAAGACACGCTTAAATTGTTTTATTAAATATGTCACTTAAAGAAAAACAGAATATACTTGTAGAGCTATAGCTATTATATATATTTATTAAGTAAGTGGCTATGCCGCTAAAAGGTGTTATTTTTGTAAATTAGGAATATCATGTCATTGCTATGCAGGAGGGTCGTCGCGTCGCTATATTATTATATAATTTTAATAGAAAGATCTTTCCTAGTTGCGATTATCTTTTATAGGTATCTAGATTATCTGTATTCAATTTTACAATACACAGATACTATAAAATAAATAAAAGAATATTTTGGTATAACTGTATTCATGCCCATTAAAAATACATAGTACATGGCGTAGTTACGGTCGCATATATAGAATATGTCTATTTTGCTACTCATTACAATTAAGGTATTTAAGTAATATAATGCTATAACATCTGTTCATAATTTCTGCATTTTCGAATTCATGATTCGCCCGCCTATTACGATAATACGATATTGTTCTTTAAATAACTTATACATAAGTACCTATATTATTGTGAAGTTAGCGACGAATCAAAATCCTAGTTTCAAAATACACTTATTGTATGCCATAGATGTTTTTTGTATTTTAACTTTTAATGAATAGATAGATTTCCATGTTATCACACACATTCGGCCTTTATGTAGTAATTTCTTTATAATTTTAATTGCAAATGACACATTATGTTCATCGAAGGTATGGTAAATGATATTTAAGATTGTTTACTATTGCTATATCATTGTTTATTATTGCTGTTTATATATTATCCATGAACTACAATAAATTCATGATAAAGTATTCCTTTTATTTTCATTTATCCATGGTCTGCGCTTTAGATTTCCGAACCAATACAGTTAAACTAATATCTTATCGTCTCTCGGTCCATTCTTCTGCCTATCTGTCCGACCATCCATCCGCTTCGTTGTCTGCCTTATCCACCTTTTCATGTAGGTATCTATGAGAAGATATTTAGAGGCGGAAATAAAACTTAAACCCGGAACTACGCAGAAAAAAAACTAAGCAATAATGACAGTCCAGAAAAAATAACAACCCATTTAGTAACAAAGTAAGTTAGCCAACCCATTTAGGACTAATGGGTATTAAGCAACTGCATACTTAATTTTGAAACAAGACAATTTACACAGCGCCATCTAGTTACAGACTATGCAGAGCTTATATTGCAGGTGCTGAACAACTGACAGGTATAAACACGAATACACAGAAAGCAACCAAACCAACATAAAAAATCATGCTCATGAATACAAACGTTTGCTTCGTGTGATCCATCGTAACAAGAATAAACCGTTCGATACTCACTTTAGATACGTATATAGATAATAAAAAAGAAATTATTCCAATCAATATTAAAGTAAGCTTAAGATACAAACGTTTGCATTGCGTGAGAATCTAACTCACTACGAGATAAGGCAGTGTGCTAGACCGCTAAAACCTTCCATAGGTCGCATTTTATCAACCTATAATTTTTCACGCTAATTACGGATTAACAATTAATTATTGAGCAATATCGTGCTATTGGTTTCTATTCTTTTGCTTAATTTTCATACATCTACTTTTATATTTCTTCGGAAGATTCATATAGTACAGGATGTTCCTGATATATTGTGTAATGAAACTCCAAGTCGAGCATCTATGTAATAACGGTATTGACTCAATAACTGACTAATATAGGTGGGTTACAAAATTTTATGAACAATTAGTAAGTTAAGTTGTACTTTACGAAGGACTGCTAAATGGATACATCCAATAAAACTAAATTTAAATAAGTTATAAAAAAAGTTATCAATAATACTGACCTTCAATTAATTGTTACACTACAACTGATTAAACTACAAATTTACTAACTCCGGATTTAATAATGAGCAAAGAATCATTATATGTACTTATTTGAACTATAATATTGTATATCATTATATTTCTAGTAACTGGTGGATTCTTTTATTATTTTTTAAATTATAATACAATGGCACTCTCTACTGGCGACATATTGAAACTTGCTTTGTATTACATTGGATATTTTACGTACCTTCTAGTTACATAGTTTAAAAAACATATGTCACGTTTGTATCTGTGGCCTAGAATCTTTTCATTTTCTACATATAATCTGTCCGTGAAAAAAAAATCTAAAATGGCTGAAAACTTCACAAAACTACAGGTGATCTATTTATTTCTGGAATATAAATCTTGTCATAATTATGCAGTGACGTGGTGTAATGGATTTTGAATATTGGACACTCCTATTGATATTGTGTAAATGAACAATTTCATTTTAGTGATTACTACAACATTTTAATAAAGGTGAGTTTTTTTTACATCGCCGCCCACTACTTTGTTTTCAATCTGCTTGCTTTTGATAGAAATATACATAATATTTGAAATCTATTGTTTCTTAACTTTGTTATTTTGTTAACTAAGATACGAAATATTGATTATTTTCCTTAAAAATATTCCTTTAATGCATCTAATAAGATAACACTGGTGAGGAATGTACGGTAACCAGACACTACGCATTAAAAGTTATCTATTATTAACTTGTTGATTAGCAGTTTATTTATTTCACACGTTGTAGTTGTAGACAATAATCCTTTTAATTTCTAATACATTTACAGAAAGGGTCGACCAAAAAGTCATTTCCATCGAAATTTAAAAGAAAAACGTATTATGTATGTACATTGTACAGCCTACTTTGTAGGTATATATTTTAAAATAACGCTAGTTAATATTCTTTGCCTAACGTAACTTAATCAATGTAGATATTTATAAAGAATTTCAAGCAGTGATAGTGTTAATATATAAATTGTAATATATTGTTTTGCGTGTTTACAATACAGATGGTAGTGTAAACAAAAGTAATTTCATAGCTTTGGAACTTTGTCTACAAAATAACTGTAATATGAAACTTTATTGATTTCTATTCATTATCATTTCAATCATAACACCTTCCATCACACTGCAGAGAATGTGTCCTTGTTAAAGGGATATTTAGTCAATATTTAAATATTACAACATCATTTAGTAGCCTTTTCATAAGCTTGATTTAATTTTTTTTAATGTTAAAATCTGCAGTTAATTTGCAATATCTTGGTATTCTACCTTTTTTAATGTAATTGGAATAGTAGACTAGCATACAGTCCATCTGATGGTAAGTGGTGAGCATAACCTGTATACATAAACAACACTATGTACATCACAATATTATGTGACACCTGTGATACCACTCATGTGTTACCATTATGAAGGAATAACATGTCAAGTTTCTTATCCCGTAATTTTACTGCCTAATCTACACCCTAAAACTTTTAAGTTTTTGAACACTACAAAGTAAGCTGCTTGGCAGCTGAAAATAATGACACTGAGGTATAGACAACTTTTTACAGTCTACCTCTGGTAATGCACCTTTCATATTATGTATGAATCACAATATATTTATTTTAATCAAACTTCGACACTAATAAGACTAATATTTAAGAGTATAGCTTTAGCAATTTATATAATATAGGGAATCCATTAAAACTTAGGCATGTTAAAATAATATATGTAATATAAACAAGTAAAATGAATGCAATTCCTTAATTACTACAGGTATACAGGATGGTGGTTGTATAGCTAAAAAACTAATAAATATACTATAAGTAATACTAATAAACTCTCAAGAAAGTCTCAAGTGATAGTGTAATCCACTAGAAGTTATTTTAGAAGTATGTGAAGAAAAGACATATAAGGGGGAAAGGGTATTGTTAGTAATGTGAACTGACAATCTTATTGCTAGGAATGTACCATGTCAGGTTGACCTCCACTCTTCCACCCTCTGGAAACCATGACCAACTAACCTGACCTCATGCTCATCCTATCAACCTCCTCTGGTGCCCCACCAGTGTAAACCGTTAGCATAGGCTGGAGCACCATTCCATTATCATGCATAAAAATAAAACAGACATCAGCAACTTTTTTATAAATAAAGAACTAACCAAATATAGTTTCAATTATAAACTATCTAGTACAACTTGTACTTTCGACAGAATATGTTAACATCTTGTGTCCATAGTGCAGAAAAACAGTTTACCTGCAGCAATGTATGTTAATTTTAAGGAGTTGTATCCTACTGTAATATGACATGTTGCTCAAACATTCTTCTTATTAAATGCACTGCACTTCAGTAAATATATTTATTTATCATATATAGTCATAAATGATAAATAAATATATTTACTGAAGTGCAGTGCATTTAATAAGAAGAATGTTTGAGTTTGAGTAAATATATTTATTTATCATTTATGACTATATATGATAAATAAATATATTTACTGAACTGACAAATACTGTCATGGATTGCATTGAAAAGCATGTATCCACAACACATAATATGGATACTTTTATACAATTATTATAATATATATAATTATATTTTTGGTTTTCCTTATTAATTTGTATTTTATTTCCTTTAAATTTGGTTTAGGTATTTTGTTTGTTAATAAACTAATAGACTAGGTGCATCCATACACACAATGGGTTACCAGTGGAGAATGATAGTATGAGGTCAGATTGGTCAGCACATCACAGTACCAGTACAAATACCAATAATTAACCACATTGGTTTCTAGAAAGGCATGCATGAAGGTGTCTTGATATAGTACACTAGCAATAGTACCCTCATTGATATCAATGGTCAGGTACAACAGTAACAAGGTCAGGTCTAGGCTAGTTCTAATTAATATCTGTCCCCTCTCCCCCTGAACTACTACTGAATCAATTATTCTAAAACAATTATAGTTAGGTTTTTTAGTTAGCTAGTTAGTTGTTTTAGAATAATTGATTCAGTAACTTGAGAGAGTAACAATACAAGACTGTACTTTAGTATGTTCTAGCGACAATGCAGCAGATTGTGTTATCGTACCGATTGCAATCAACGAGGCCTTCATCCTCACACCCTAAAACGAGTGTCACCACATAACAATGGGTACAATTTCAGAGGAATTTCAGCCTTTAACATTTAAGCTGCCCTGTCGAGGTTTAGTTTAGACTAGTCTAGAGACAATATCGATGGAGATTATACCATTGTTGATATATAAAACTAGAACGGCTCATATGCCCTTTGAACCGGCAAGGTAGCCAGCATTTGTATGATAATTAAATATTCTATTGCATTAAAGGTTTTCTAATATCAAGTCCTTAGAAAAAATGAAGAAAGAAAAGAAGGTTAACATTTACCTCTTTTTGTGGGTAATCCTAATATCGTTAAATGCTTATATATCAGGCATTAGCAACACGCAAATAGGTAATAAATTTCTAGTCAACGACATATGTTTAATACAAGTAAAAATAAAAACAAGTGATGCATTCAGGATATCAGAATATCGCATTTCTGGCTTCTATAGCTGACACAAAAATGTACGTGGCAAATTCTGTGCAACTTGAAGGATGTAGAAATCTGTCGAAGGCTGCAGAGCTAAGCGTGAGCAGCCTAAGATGCGCGGGCGCCACAAACAGGCCGAGCTGTGACTCATTGCCGCCCAAAATAACATGCAAACGGGCGCCGCCTATCGGCTGGGGCGGGCGGCAGTCGCTCAGTGGCAGCCGCGACGCCGCCGCCGCTAGAAGAGCGGTCGAGGTGGAGCGCGCGAGCCTTACTGACGAGGTGGCGGCGCCGGCGCGTGATGCGCCGCCATGCCGGTACGACACCGCGAACTCGGCGACGAGCTCGCACCCCCGGAGCCCAAGCGCTGCAGACACTGCGACGGTACGATACACAATGCTTTGCGCTGCAGGTGTTGCTCTAACCAATAGCATACAATGTGGTTCAGTCGGTTCCTGCAAAACTCACCAGAGAAGTACACCGTATGCCTCGCGCTAAAAAGTCATATGACACGTTTGTTTTTCTGAAATAACATAATATTAAAGAATAATATCGCTGTTTTTATTTTGAAATTATACAGATTGTTTCTAAAGATTAGATCTCATTTTGCACTAACTTTATACCAAAAAGACCTACGGTTCGTATTGCTTGTGATGCAGGATTTTTGTACTAATTCATGCGATGAAGAGTAATCAACCAAGGTTTTGAAATTTCGACTAATTGGAATGAAAAATTTTCTTATAAAACTGGTCAAAAAAATAACTAGATGGAGATACTAATTAAGTGGAATTTTGTAAACTATTTTAAAGTTGTTCTACTTTCTTAAAATCAAACAAGTTGGTATTAATAGGTTTTACTTTTAATCTTGCAGAATAATTTTACTTTAATCTGATGCATTCATAAATGGTTTGAGTATTTATCGTTTGAATGAATTTATATATTTATTAGGAATAACATACACATAATTACACATTTATACCCCTGTTAGCTTAACTCTACATTTAATAGAGCTGATTTATTGATCTATCAATATGTAGCCTTACCTTAGAGATAGGAGTAGGACCTGACAGTATACTAAGAAAGGATTTTCCGAAATTCTCAAAGTAATGGGAAATAACGAGTTTATGCCAGAAACAGCTACTCTTTTATGTTCTTGTTGACTTAATTTATGCACTATGTTGGCAATGATGTTGACTAACAAATGTCTTGTTTTATAGATTCTGCCTTCATGTATTTTGTAGGTTACGAGTAATTAATATTACCAGTTTTGTTAAAATTTGTTTTGACAAGGAGCAAACTTTGTACTTTTTATAACAAAATGTGGGAAATTATCATAAATATACTTTGGTGGTATAAAAAAAAAACTATCTGAGATTCTGTTCTTAAGCAGTAATTACTATCAAAATATATATAAATATTTGTTGTTATTTGTTGAATATACTAATTGTAAGTTGTAGAATATTTGAAAAGCTAGCCCTGTACGCCTTTCGGTATAGATATATGGAAATCATATTTTTTTCTGAAACCCTGTATCACCTATTTCCACCACCAAGCAGTGAAATTACACAGGCTTGTTTTATTTTAAGAAGTATAACGATGTAATTTTACATGTTACTAATCATATTGAATTGCAATTGTCGATTAATAGTCTTCACCAATAGTATTACTAAATTAATTTTGATTCTCATGATCCAAATATAATAAACAATGTAATATACGTTATTACACAAACAAATTAATATACCTATAAGTAAGAACATGTTAGTCCTCTTAAATGGCCAAATTCTCGCGAATTGCGCTTGAGTACTGTCAGTTAAAACGTTATATCCGTAGTGCAGGTCATGTATATACCCGACGGTTGTCGCTTCCCATCACGTTGACAATCAGCTTGTTTGCCATTCCAATTTCATTAATAAAAAAATCGGCTGTTTTTGAGATATGGCGGTGAATTACAAGGTACAATGCATACCATCTTAATCCACCGGAACGTCAACGCTGTGTAATGTCGTTCATGTACATATGTAGGTGACAATTACAACGTAGCATTAGATGGTTTGTCTTCTTGTTTGTCATTCCAATTACATAAAGAAGCCAAGATGACATCGGACCCTAACCAGCGATTTCATATCTACAATCCAACGAAAAAATTGCTAGTACGAAGCCAATACGAAGAGGTTTTGGATTCGACCGTATTTTTTTTTTGCATATTACACTATATTTTCAGAATTGTAGTCACGATAGATTTTTTGTAAAAAATAGATATATTATGCTTTTATTTATTACCAAAATGAAAATGGGTCCCATTTTTGTTTTTTTACTGCAGCTTAAGTACAAATTATATAATTGCTTGTACTTGCACTGCCCATACTAAATACTTTAACCACACTATAATATTTAATAAGTTTTACTGGGACACTTGTTAGTGCTGTATCCGTATTTAATTTAGATACATAATACCTACTATCTACTAAAATTATATTTCTTAATTACTCATTTCTCTTTTTACGGTAGTTTAAGTAACGGAATTTGACATCGTACAATCACATTAAAAGTATAGCAATATAAAAATGCAAATGTATTGTTTTCTGTTCTCAGTTATTTGGTTAAACTGTAGTAGGATTTAGCTTATTCTTATTCACTTGTGTCATAAAGCGTCTGTTCGCCGGAAGTAGTTGGTAAACAAGTCTAAAAGGGTTTACTTATGTAACTAGACTCGTAAAAGTCATAAACAAGTGTGTTTCGGCGTGCATTTGCGATATCTTATGTTGAATCTTGTCACTTGTATAATTGTAGGACGTCTACGTCGCACGCGCCGCTGCCTCTGAATACTACATGTTTACAATATTGTAATATTGTTGTTTATCGTAGCGAGTACTAATTAGTGTCTAAGGTCTAGTGGACCAATATCTAAGCTGCGACTAGGAAAACTTCAGTGGTTGACATTGAAATAGATAAGTTTTGTGTTAAATAAATAATTTGATCACCTCTCCTTTGATAGTCATAATAAAATCTTAAACAAATAGATATGCTCCCTTAGCAGAGTAGACAGGTAATAATTATAGATTTTTTTAAAAGGAAAGTTTCTCGGAAGTTTTTTTTTATGTCATTATCTTCTGAAGACACCGCAGTCAGCACTATTGATGCGATCTAATTAAGATGACCTCCTGTTGTAAACAGTATGTATCCTTATTATAAAAATGATTCATATTTTATTTAATTTGTCAATAATTTTATTTCGCCGACATATTTATTTAAGAAAATTCTAATTCAAATAATCAACCTGATACAATCCACATTGTAGCATTTTTAATTTTATTCAATTTCATCAGACAAATCTTACCTTATATCGCCTCAAGTCCACATTAAATATTTATTAAATATTTAGGCATGTGCCTGCTCCACGTGTTGGTATAGTTGTACTATAGATAGAGTTTGTATGTATGATGGAGGTGTGTGAGTGACGGTATCAGAAACAGTGTTGTGACAGGTGTGGCGTCACCGGCGGACGGCAGGCCAGACTGTTGGGACGCCGATTAATTACCGTGCCCCAAGATCAGACCGAGACGCTACGAATACCAACGAATGAAATCATCGATCATCATTAACAGCTACGTAATATAATTACAAACAATAACACAAGTATCCAGCTTTTGGGAATACTCGATAGTTAGATAATTTCATTATTGTAATAAGATTGACGGTATATTGTTAATTAATTAGTATCTTTTGTTAATGTTGTTGCTGAAAATCATGTCTCTGGTTAGTCAATTCATATTTAATACGATGATACTGGCTGACAAGAGAAAAGTAACTGTTACATTTTAAATTAATTTACAATTTTCCTGTAACGTCACGGCTTGTTTTTCCATTAGTATGTTATTGTTTTTCAGTTCTATCATGGAACTCCCACGATGTTGTGCAAGTAGGTTCAATAAAAACATATTAAAGTCAATATATATAATCCTTCAATCTATTATAGTTCTACTTAACTCCTATGAAGGAGGGAGTAGGTTATTAATAATTTAAATTAGTGCAGCATTGCTTGCTATCTCCTCCTGTCAGATCGACCTCCGCATTGTCCCCTGGACTTTGTCTTCACCTCACTTTATATGTTGGTGCTCCACCAGCTTTGGTTTGATTATATAGCACAATTGTTAACTATTTTTATTTTATTCAGATTAATTACATATTACACAAAATTGATATAAGTCTGCAGGACTTATATCAATTTTAAACAAGATTTCTTAGCAACTTAACCCGTTATCCGGTCAGTCTTTTCATAGTTTGGGGAATAACTGTTATTTGGATCTATTTTATTCAAAATATTGAAATTAAATTGCTTATAAGAATTAAACATCCCTGAAAAATACCACGCACTGAATATTATTGTATCTATGAGTCGTCAATGTATCCACTTCTGTGACGGGAATAGTTACCTCATTTTGTAAATGATTCAACTGCATTCGTTTGACTTGACTTAAATTTATATTTTAATAGACTGCGTACGTAAATAACGCGTAATCTTAATTAGATGGTATTTCAAATCACTTTTATTATTTAAATATTATAAAAATGTTTTAGTAGGGTTTTCTTGATAAGAGTTTAAGAAAGACATACAAGCACCATATTTAAAACCAGTCAAGACGTTTGTCTCCAGGTTGATAAAGACATAAACAAACCCGAAAACATTCAATAATCGAAACATATAGTTTCGATTATTGAAAAAGCATGATGTTCGATTACTAAATTATTGATGAGATTAAACGTATTCTCCACCCTCCACAACATTCTACTTATTTTCTAACTCTTCTTCCCATTAAACGAAATGGCACACAAACTTTGCTTAAACAACATCTAAATCCTAAAAACGGCTATTACGAAAATAGTATTTTCTTTTCTAGTACGATATAAATCTTTTAACACCTAACTGTTATTTTTCACGTCGTAAAAATTACGTTGTAGTTATGAGACGTGCATTTTTCCTCGATGTCGTTGTTGCCCCTAAAATAAAAGTCGTGAATTTCCATCCAAGAAATGTGTCTATTTATGCAACAAGCGTCGGCGTCTCGGTTGTAGTGTAGGTAGGTAGTAACTCTGTCGCCCATAAGAACGGAATGTTTGTTTTGAGGAATCGCAAACAAACTCATAATTATTCTCAGAAACGTAACCCGTACGCAATATGTAATTAAACTGCCCATCATTTGGAGGAAATGTTTGTGATTGATTCCTTATCTGTTAGGGGCATGATTTATGTATCCTCTCTTCAACATTAACAAAAAAGTAACTTAACTATATAATGTTTGTGCATTAAGTTGGTATTAGTATGGTAAATCAGCCGCGCCGATAGTGCACTCAAGAACATGCAGTAGTAGCGTAAAATGTAA